AGCTTGGCTCTCTCACGTTCAAACCCATCCATTCGTGACGAAGCACGGCTATCAGGTATAGATGCGTTGCGTAGGAGGTACCAACCTGGTCGAGCGTCAGCCAGATTATGACTCCCGGGTCTGAATACCGGGTGGGCCAAAATAAGTTACCAGGCGGGCTAAGTATCTTAGTTACTTCATGGGACTGACAATTTGAATAAAAAAGGTGGATATCAGTTTCTTACTTCTGATGCCCACCTATCGTTTTTACCCGATTCTTATGTGTTTTTTTTTTTTTAAGTGGGGAAAATCATCGAATGACTGCTCCCGCCTGGGTGAGGCGGGAGGGAGTATCAGACTCTTACTGACTAAAAACCACCCCGTTCCTTCTCCTGCACGTCGAGCCGGAGCCCCGGTTACCCGTTAGGTTCTCCGCGACTCCGAATCGGCATCGGCCGTATTGGGCCCCATCTGTGGTGGTCTGATGGCTCTTTGAGGCGCGCGCGGAACGCGACGCGCCGTACGCTCGGGGATTCTTATGTGTAGGTGTAATATTTGATCCTCTGAATTTCTTGCAATAAAATGTTTATTTTTCTTTGAATCATACACGGAAATTAACGATGAGATCATTTAAATTCGATCCGAACCTTATGTCCATATGAGGGCTAGAAACCCGTAGGTTTCGTAAGAGGGTAAGCAGGTAAGTAGGTGTTTCGTATTCAGGGCACGTGCCACACGTGTGTGCGATACCCACACGATGCGGGAACCAACTCGGTTTCAATTACGTATGATGAAATAAACGACTGTCGGTAGTATTTGATATTGTGCAGAGAAATGGTAAAGGAAAATCGTTTTTATCGTCTTTGTTTTAAATATGAATCTTCTAACTGATTTTTTTTCAGGATGCTGTCTTTATTGTAGCAGGATCTGGGTAATCTGAGTACGATCTATGTTTGAGAACAGAGGTGTGCCTATAGTTATATTTTTAAGAACTCTTGGTAACTACGTATGCAGCTAATACCTGTACTGAAGTAAAAATGATGTTCCTAACACAATTTGAAACTAATTTAGCATTTTGAATATTACTTAAATTAAAAATCTAGTCTTGTCCTTCACAAAAGACCGAAAATAGGAAACACAGAGGCAATAACATCCTCTTTAGCGAAACTCATCAATCTTCGTATTTTAGATGATGACCCCTATGATACTAATTATGAATCACAAACTTAAATGCTATGATGGGTGTAATAAATCCAATTTTAATCGTTCATTAAGTGAAACAGAATTAATTCTATGCATATAGTTTAAAATGTGGTCCAATACAAATTCTTGCAATCTCGTTGTCCTTGCGGGTTGACATTCTCATAAGGGAAGTTGATATGACAACGTAATTTATTTAATTCTCGTGAATTAATTAACGCGTGATCTATATAGCTTCACTTATACAAGCAGGGTAAATCTTAAATACCAGTAAGTATATAAAAAGCCAGACATGCAAAAAACCATTGCACATAAATAAAACTTAAACAGATGACAGATAATGTAGTAAAAATATCTATTTATTTATTATTTATGTACATACATAATTATAACACAAATGACAACACATACCTCTATATAAAAACGAGGTACATAGGTACGTAGGTACTATATGCATGATACCTATGTAAAATATAATATTTAGTACTATATCTATTATATTGTCATTTGACAGGTAGGTACTAGATACATAGATGAATGCTTTTATTGTATATCATTTTTACAAATTATAGATAAAGATATCAAATATTCAGGCAAATGTTTGACATTTATTCTGCGACCACATGACTTTGGTCCAAGGGATGCTTAATTTTAGTTTGATTTTCGGATGAATGAAACTGAAATAGGTTTTTTAAGATACGTAGTATAAAGAGATGGCTGCCCATTGTACTCAAAAAATATTACGAAAATCAACCTAAAATTTTAAATTAGGTGTCACAAGGACCAAAGTCACATGGTCGCAGTTGCCCCTCTATTTTACGACCAATATCCACGAGACAGCGCAAAAACGAAATTTGTTAAAAATAAATATTCTCATAAGTGACATACATTTAGCGCGAGCTAGGTTTCTGTCTCACACAGAACTGTAAAGTTCTTTCTCATGTAAATAAGTTTTCTCTCAGCACATTTAATTCAGGTGTGTGAACACTGTGACACTGTGAATAGATACAATTGTCTTCAAAAGGACCAAGATTTTTGGTCTTTTGGTACTCATAATTTTACTCGACTGTAGTTTACAATGTCTGTTTAGTTAAATAAGTAGTCTGATAACAACCACTAAGGAGTGGAATTTCTTGCCGAATTTTGTGACTTGTACGGAACCTGGGTGCGTTTAAATCCAGAGTGAACGTGTTGCAGGTTGGTCATCATGAAACAAATTGTTTATGGACTATGGTGTAGCCCATGGCACTTATGGCACTTACACTAGGCGAACGTAACCGTCATGTTGTTATAACACGATAATATGTTACTCTTTCATTCACTGTTCAACGTGGAAATCGCTCGGAGAAATTTCGTAATTACCTAACGATTTTCTAATGCGTACACGCAGGTAGGTATCGCGCAGGCGTAGTACAGATAACCTAAAATGACCTCGATTGTACAATGCTTTTGTGATGTCGCAATGTTCACAAGAAAACAACTAATTAATTAATTGATACATATCTATTTCAGACAGTTTGAGATGTTTAATGAGCGCGAAATATAAAAAAAAATAATATACTACGTGAAGGGGTAATAGGTCGCTATATAACGTAAGTACATTTTAAAGTACCTACACACAATAATTCATAGATTTAAATATACTTAGTAGGATCTATGTCCCGTTTAAGTATGGTGTAGTAGACCAATATTATCATAAAAATTAGACTAATTTGACTACACATAGTTGGTGCGGTAGCAGGGCAGCGGAGTGGCGCACAACATGCGGGTTCGATTCCCGCACAGAGTAACTTTTTGTGTGATCTAATTTGACTGCACGGTTGGTGCTGTGGCAGGGCAACAGAGTGTCGCTCAACCTGTAGCGGATTCGATTCCCGCACAAGGCAACTTTTTGTGTAATCCATTTATTGTTGTTTTGGGTCTGGATGCCATAGCTGTGTATGTGAAATTCATGCAGGACAAAATCTAGTGTGGGGCAACGTTTTTTTGTGTTTTAATGTTGAATTTGAATGTTTAATGCAGTGCCTACTAAGTATATGTAGATGGCAAACATTAGAACTTAAACTTGGAACTTGTTCCAAAAATGAACTTACGAAATTGATAATTCTTATCTTGGGCTTAGAAGGTCTTGAGATAACCATAGTATTTATAAATTGGGTCAACTCTTGTGAAATTATGAATTCTATACAGTTTTTTCCTTATCTTAGGTAGCCGAAAACATAATATTGCACCGATTGGTTTACAAAGTGTAGGAGAACCATGCTTCGGCACGAATGGGTCGGCTCGACCGAACAATTATCACAGCCTCACAGAAAACCGACGTGAAATAACGTTGCGTTGCGTTTCGTTTTGTCAGTGAAGTTACCGGAGTCCCAATATTCCCACATCTCTCCAATCCCTGAATACCCAACAACCCTCAAATTCCTAATCCCCAAAAGGCCGGTATTATAACGCCTCTCGGTGTTCAATATCCATGGGCGACGCCGATTGCTTACCATCAGGTGATCTGTCTCTGGCTTACCCGGTTACCGTTACCGTACTACGTTAACTACGGTATGTAATCGTAGGTACTTACTCTTCGTTTTTTTATGGTCATGTCCTCATGTATTGACTTAGAATTTAATAAAATCAATTCAAGTTAACCGAAACCAATTGACTTGTTGTAGCAAATTCTACCACCTAATCTTTTACAATTGTTTCTTATGTCTATGGCCTGTTAGGTCCATAAATCTTCTATCTTCTCACTTCTGTTGTATGTACATAGAAGAATCCTTAGATTCCTTGAATGAATACTTTGACATAATATTTAGAGGAGACCATCAAAAAGTTCTAACGTAAATCGCCTTCACACTATTTAGAGTTTCAGGTCTGACTTGTAAAGTACACAAAAAGGACATTGAGGTATGAAATAACTTGTACAGCTTGCCGTACGCGTGACCTAGACACTGAACAAGCTCTCATACCTAATATGTTCATTGGTTAGTGGTCATGAGTCACAAGAATACTTGAAGCGAAGGATCATCTCTTGGAATTAATACCTAATATTATTCCTACGTGATAGTTATCATTATCATTAACCATAAGATGTCTATTGCTGATCATAGGCCTCTCCCAATGTCTTCCAGATCGGTTGATTAGTGTATGGGACAATCAGATTTAGTATAGGTATGGGAGAAAATATCCATTTCCAGTTATTATTTACTAAGTTTGGCATGATAAACCGTAACTAGGCTACTGATATTCCTGTATTACGAGAGAACACATCAATTGATGCAAGAATAGCTATGTTGTAATGGGGTTCTCGAGTAAAAGAAATAGGTATATAATTTGCCCTTATTCATAGGCAGAATTACCCAAATGCTGTTTTCTAGTAAACTTAATACCTGAGCCTTACAGAAATGTTGCAAGTAGGTAAACTAACTTGTAAGTTCATATCTCCCTTGACTCGTTCGAAACTTGGTTTGTAAGAGTTTCAAACCAGTGAAACAACTGTTCAGAGAGCAGGGCTGCGAATGGCTGGCACTCGTTTAAGGTGCAAGTTTATCCAAGAGTTCGGTCCATGATTTATTAACTCACCGTGTGGTGTGTCAAGTTCATTTTGTATGTAAATATCACAAGTTTATTACTCATATCATGAATATATCGCAGCATATGGTAAGCGGCTCGAAGGACCAGAACATGTGCTTCTGGTCTTTCTCCCGGGAGTAAAACAGTTCTTTGTTTACCATGCAAGGCATAAGAATTATGGCGGCCGTAAAAAAGTGGATCATGTTCGACCGGACCCGAGTAGAAAGTGAAACCGCTCCGTACGGATACTTTATAAATTGTAGCAACGACGGTAGCGAGCTCAGTCGAGGCGCACGCGTCGTACCGCGTCAGTCACGCCATCTCTGGACAAAAATGGTCAGTTTCAATTTACTTTCGATTTGTTTCATAGTGTTTGTTTTTATTATAATTTTAAGACGTAATATCTATTATAATAATATAGTGTATTAATTATATGTAGTGTTAATATAGTGTATATAATTTTAGTGTTCTAGTGAAAGTATTTATTATTTATTTATTTTATTTATTCTATTATACAACGTATTACGGTAGTATTTATTTTGTTATACCGGCTTCTTATTTTTTTGAATGCATGCTTTCAAATTAATATTTATTTCTTGAATAAAAGAAATCTGTTTTAAGTTTTATCAATATTATTTTTCGGACAACTAATTAATATTTTTTATAATCTTAATGACTTTTGAAATATAATTAAAAGTTCACTACAATATAAAGTTTACTTTAACCGCTTATCATAAAGTTAATAGAGCATTAACCGACAGAAATACTGAAGACATAGTGTTCCCATTAAACTTAAAGTTTACACAACTGAACAAGTTTGGTCCATTTACGAAATCAACTACAATGTTTTCATTTTTAACTTGCACCTACATTTTTAAACCATCTACACAGGAACTTGTGAAACGGCCCATAAAAGTGTTGCTTTAGTTTATCATTTCTTTTAATCTACCTATTTGATTATGAAGTCTGTCTACCCCGACTTACAGAGAACTTAGACACGTATTTTGGTCCTTTGATGCTTATAAACCAATTTGTTCTTGAAAAGCAACTGTATTTCCATTCATTTATCGTGTAAAATGAAGTTACGTATCACATAATGTATGTTAAAATTAATATAGGCATACCTAAAATAGGATAGCTAGATGACGAACTAAATAGATTTTTCATTTTCACACCCCGTATTGGCTTATCATAAAGTAGATGTCTAAATAAAACCTACTTACTCATATCTGTAACTTTCATACTTAACATTTGTTCTTAAACAGTCATAAAATACCAATTACCTAGTTAGTCTCGTAAAAGTCAATTCGGTTTAGTAACACAATGAAATAGTAAAATTGAAAGATCGCGTGTATGAATTGTACCCTTACAAAACAACTTTATAGCTTTGTGATTTAATACATAAGTAGATTGATTTCAAATGCTGTAAGACCTTTGAAACCTTTCAGACAATACTTTCATAAGTTACCAAATGAACCAATTGAACACGGAACTTCAACTTATCTATATAAATAAAAATGAATTTCCGTTCGTTAATCTCGATAAAACTCGTGAACAGCAGAACCGATTGGCTAATTTTAGTATTGATATATTCGTGTAAGTCCAGGGAAGGTTTAAAAGGGGAAAAAAATAAAGAAGTTTGCCGGATCCAGCTAGTATTTATATAGAATCGAAAGAAAAAGTCCACAAAACTCCACCAAAGAAATACACCAATGCGCTTCGAAAAAAAAAGGTGCAACTCATTTCAATCAACTTTTTCTTACACAACCTTGATACGACAAACTTGTTATGCTGACAGTGGAAACGGTCATAATCTGTAACTTGAAATACAAAGCAAAAAGTACATGAACTGACACTGAGAAACCTTTCACCCGCGGAAATATCGAAGGCTATCAGGGTGGGGCAGCTACTCAGGCGGAACATGAATAAAATCTTACTTTATTATTGTTATAGATATATGTAATAGTTACCTAGGTACTTAGGCAAGGTTTTTTATGTAAACATGGCAATAGCGTGTATTGTTTATTGCTGGTTATTCTAGCCTTGACGGTTATTACCGGGCATAAATCATGTGGTTGGAAAATAAATTGTGAAAAATTATCGTATGAACCAAAGGACCGAAATGACCCTTGCGTCATTTAGTTACTCATTGTATAAAAATCATGGGTGGGGACCACTATTCATTTTGTTTTTAAAGTTTAAGGCACGGAAATCTTTAAGAACATCCCCAGAGTGCAATAATATCACTTTCCAAAACTACTTTCCCACGCTATAAAAACATAAGCTACACAATAATTTCCGGCAAAAATAAATATGATTATTGTACCTAAAAACCGTTAAATTCAACAATAATAGAGGCTGCAAATAAATCGAAAAAATCGATTACCCATCGAGTCCGAAAGAAAGTAAAAAGTCGATTTTCTTTTAATCGATTGCAATCGTATCGGTGTAAAACGGTTGTGTAATTGATACCGGCTGGTTCATAAAGCCATGAAATCGTATTTACTCTACTTTCTAATTGTAATTCGGACGCAACAGCTGTTATTAGGCTCATTAGCGTGACTTTGAAATGAGTACGATTGAAAAAACTGTTTGATTACAAGTTAATTGGATCTAAATCTAATTACAGCTGAATTACTTACAGATTATTTTGAAGTAAAGAGTTAAATCACTGTAATACATTTGTGAATTAGAAGAATATTCTAGAATTTGTTTATATCCTGCAGCATCACGGAATAGTCAAAAAGTACCGACGCTATTCCAAGAGCCTAAAGCTATCTATCACAAATAAACCTACTTCGTCCTACTTCGTTTCTGAACTGACCCACCAGCCTACAACTCCATTAACTGGTTACTTCATAAAACAGAAACACACTGAGTTTAAAACTTACGTAAGAAGTTTTTAAAAGTAATTAAAATTCAAACAAAATTCACAAAAACTTCACGGTATTTTGACAACGAATGAAGCATGAAAACGTTTGGTTATTACGTAACAAAATTTCGCTGTCCGTCGCACTAAGTAATTTGAAAGTAAATCGTGAGTACCACGAGACGTGTTAATAAGACAGAACGGAAACTTCCTGCAAGAATTAAATACATAAGTAATAACTTTATAGAAATCGCGATGCTGTAGAACAAGTTTAAAACAGCTGCATATGTATCAGTCAGTTAACACCACGTTAAACATTCCTTGGTCTCCTGAATGCGTAATCCATATCCGTTTGATTCGAATTGCATTATTTGTTTAACCGTTTCTTGGAAAAGCCCTTGTCAAACATACACAAACGTAATTTCCTAACAAGTAGGAACAAATAAAGTGTCACACAATCCAAATATTTGACGTTTCTTTACGGACATACGGACAAATGAAAGTGAAAAGAATTTATTCTTGGACTGATAACATCACTGTTTTGAAATATCATTGTCGAGAACTTCAGATGAACTCAATGATAAGTTATGTTAAACAGGGCAGACAGCGACTGCGCAATCAATTTATAATGAATAAAGCTGCATTATTTTATAATGTATCATGAATGCTAGATACTTGCTGTTTTGTAGGCATTCAGACAAATTAATGATACCTTTAGCAGGAAGGATCAATGTATAGTAAATAACAGTCCTAATTGTGGCATTCTGAAATAATAAACTATAGTAGGTACCAAATAGATTACATCTATGTACAATATTGTATGACGAAGCATCACGTAGCACAAAAAGTGAAACCAAAAAAATAAAGGAATTATATACTAGAACATTAAGTAAAACAACGTTCAGCCTTGTCCTACAGATTATTGCGCATTCACGAATTCAGCCAAGCATTGTTACGACTTAGTACAATGTGTGAAATTTTTTAACAACAAAACATGTGAAGATTCTCAGGCGTGCAGTAAATGATGCATTGTTTGTCGCTTAGGTGTCAAAATGGCGCCCCGTATCATTATAAACTACTTAATTACCTTGAGATCTGTGAAAATCATAGCATATTGTTGAATTATCTTAGTCCAGATATTTACAGACGATGGTTTCGTCTTTGCTTCATCATTCCCGCCTGTCATCTAAAACATATCTCATGTACCTATACGCATGTTGCGTACCCTTTGATAAATAAAAGGAATAACGTTAATTATTTCCTTGATACCTCAAGTCAGTTATAATGCCAATTTCTAACTAAAACTTACATTAATCTTTGTTATTGAGGTAGTTAATCACATGCATAAGACCACCTCTCAGGATAATTGCGGAAGGACTTTCACCGTTGATTAAATTCCTTGCCATAAACGAAAACGAACTACTGGAATGGTTTATAAAGGTGATAAAATACTGGATTTACATACGACTGGCGTGGTGACATTTCAATTGACTTAAACTGGCCATTGAAAACATTTTGTCGCGAGTCGGTAAGGTCAGATCTATATAAGGCAATTTCAAGGTCCAAATGGAAAGTCTGAGTGGGCTTATGTTTCCACTTACTGGTAACTACTATTTAATTTAATTGACAACTTACACCCACTAACGGCCTACACAGAGCGGAATAGATATTACAAAATTACCATAATTCAAAGTAGAGGTAGATAAATCTATAAATGACTGTTTGTGGGTGATTCGAATGGGATTTGCGAACTGTGACTCATTCACGATTTCTTAGATGATGGATAACTTGCTCGGATTTTGTACGAAACAATGTTTTGTATGAGTGAACGTCAAGTATCGTTATGACACCTTAACAGAATGGCTTACATTGTGACTAATGGACCTGTAGCATCTCCAAACTAGGTTAACGATAATCCTACGTGTCACGGTTTGTCAATGTAAAGTACTCATTTGTTTTCCAATAGCAATCATCGATTTTGCATGCTTGGTAGGTAAGAATGTATCTCGTAGAGTCATTGGGCCAATGGGCCAGCGTTTGCTGCAATCTTGGTAATTTGATAAAGGTGTCTTTGTGTCTCAATATTTATTTGAGATTGTTTTACTTGAGTTCTTGATAACTTCCCGTATGTCATGTCGACATTAAAACTTTACATCAGTCAATAAGTACGAAAACTTGTGGACAATAAATCTAGAGACATTTCAAAAAGTGAACCTTTTAAAGAAATTGCTACAGACACTCCGAAAAGGGCATCATCCATCTTAGATTTTAGTTGGATTTTTTCTTCGATTTCGCCAACAATTTCCCAGCTCCAAGCAGACAATTATAAAACTAGCAAAAACCTTTCGATATAATCTTTTTCTCATTAATTGTTTGACGTTTCGACACTGAAAGCTTTCGTGTAAAACAATGAACTCTGCGGTCCAGCGCGCATGTCTCTCGTTGCGCAACTCGGGCGGGCTCCAATTACTACCGTTGCGTAAGCGCCGCTAAACGTTAACTTACTGGCAATTCCCTTATTGCATGCCGTGTCACTGTGAGGCAACGTAGGTAAAGTAACATATTTGTAACATATCGTGATCGCGGTGGATATCTTTAGATGGTTTGTAAACCTTTTATGGTAACGAATTGAATGATGATACCAAATAAGGAGTTGGAATTCCACTTACCTAAACACAGTTTATGATATTATCGGGTAAAAAGCTGGCAGCGTGAATTTATTACAAGATACTAGCGTTAAATTATAAGGTAATAACTTAGACTAATAATCAAACCACAAAACAGACAGGTCTACGGACGCTACAATTTTTCCTCAACATTTATTCGAATTCCGTTCAACAGATGTCTATGTACACATCGCAACTGTCATTGACTTTCATAGATAACCGCAAAGAGAAAGTCAAATACACTACTTCGCTTAGGGAACACAGTGGCTCTTAATGCATAATTTACAGTGACAAACATTATCTAACTTTGACGACATAGTGGTTTTATTACGTAGTGTTACTAACTACATTATAATCTCTTTTACTTACAATATGGCGGTTTAATCTGTGCATAATTTTGTCATTTCTTGTTTATGAAATATCAAAAACGCTTCAAGATAAAGACATTTAGATCTTTAGGCTTCAAGCTGTGGTACATTATTGTTAGGCAACTTTATAGTTGAAGTGTAATCAAATTATGAATGTACTAGTTAACCCTAGATAGAAACTAAATTAGTACCTAATTGTGATCGTATCTAGTACCAATTTCGTATGTCTATAATTGTTGCAAAAATAATACTTAGTGTTTTAATTCTTAATTAGTCAGTAATTAAGTCTTAGATTAAAAATGAACATCCGTTATAATACTAATGTAATTCGGACATGATAGCAATAAAATTTATTTATCAATTAAGTAGTTATTACAATGATTCAAGTATTAAACTTTATCGGCTCAAAGGACCACGTTTGTAAATAATTTGGTCCTTTTATTATACACTTCATAATTCACCTAAACGAATAAACGAGCACCTGCAGGCTGAAGTAAAGCAAGATATCTCGGTTTCACAACGTAACATTCGAAGCAGTTTCGTAAATCATTTACCAAGGAACCGGTCTAAATATATATTTACGTCGAAAGACACTGACAAACCAACCCAGAATTTTTGTTTATGAAAATAAACAACTTCTGAACTAAATCGTTAAGAGCTATGGGCTTTCATCAACTGCCATGTCTGCCACTTTGGAGTTTAAAAATAAACTTTTCACCGGTAACTATATCAGTTACAACATTAGGAGGAATTCTCTGAATCTGAATTATTGAGTCATTTGCATCTAAGCAGCTATTTATAGCTCGGTCTAATAAATTGATACGTTTACCCACTCCAGAATGTAATAATAGAAAATACCTACTTGCATCTATATTATTCAATTAATAATAACAGTTAGGACTCTAGTAGGTACTAAAAATACAGAAAAAAAGCTAAACTAGCTAGGATTTAAAATTCGAATTCTAACGTTATTTTTCTTTACAGCACACACTAATCCTGGCTGCTTTGGCCGCCGTAACGACGGCGATGCCATCCTACATCGCGGTACCTGCAGATCAGATCGCGTTTGTGGATCTGACGGCGTTGCGCGTGCGTCGTATGCCAAGACAGACCCTGTCGCCGCCACCTCCACCACCACAAATACCATTACCACAGCTCCCACAGGCGTTCTATGAACAGGAGTACCCTACAACTCTGCAGCAGTATCAGCAGCAGCGTAAGTGAACACTTCTATTCTTATATTTGGCTTTCTCTTGGCTATCCCAATAGAATTAGAGATTAGGGTTTGATAGTATCAGACGGCTAGGTTTACACAGAAATCTTCCTCAAATGAAAAAACTTTTTCTTAAACGGAATCTTATTATCACCTTAGGAGAGTACTTAGTTCAATTTGTGGTTTGTGCAAATCTTCTCCCCAACTCTGAGGCCCTGTAATAAAATTTACTAAGATTAATACTGACAAAACTATACCTCTACAGCAGTTTTATTCTTTCTCGAGCCCTCCTCCTTACATAACGTGCTCGAACAAAGGGATAGCACTCGTAGCTTGATCATTATCACTTGCAATCATACGTCTCGCAACTACACCGATAAGATAAGATATCTTCACTATGAGCAAATTTAATATCTACAGTAATTGGATCAAGTAAAGTTTCACTACTCAAGAGGAAATCACAGCCTTTGCGCACCGGAAGGCAACGTATATTATCCACAGTTGACTTTTATCGCTTATTTTGTGTAGTTATTATAAAGAAACTTCTTGTTGTAGGCGTGAGATAGTCATTAGAGGCAAGCCTAATTGGTTTTAAGAATTGATGTCTGATAATTGTTTGGTATTTCGTCCCTCAATTTTGCCATCATCAATGATGTAACCATAGGCTTCGAATTCGCGCATTCCATTCTATGCTATCAACTTAACAAAACTTCATTCAATCTATCATCTTGTACAATTCTTAAAAATATTATCAATATTCGATGAATTACGAACGAATGTATTTGACGAATCATTGTCTGTAATAAAATGGATCTGTAATGCCGATTCATACGCCCGTCAATCAAGCTTAAGCAGCCATCACTTTCACTTGAGAACAAAGGATAAACTGCTTTCTATGCAACTAGGTACTTAAGTTACTTGTTTTACATTCAATGGGATCGCATCCATTCACTGCGCGAGACCAACCACTTGAGAATTAGAAGCAAACGGTACATTTAGTACTAGGATCTTGTTGAAATGGCTTGCAGACTTACTCAATCTCTCTAAAAGATTCTTTCGTGTTCCAAAATGATTTTTTGATTATCTTGTAATTTTTCTACTTTCCACAGTGATGATGTGATCGTTTCCTCGAAGCGTGGGTTTTTTATAAATCATTTGAATACTTAAGTATCTCGGTACATCAGAAATGTTGCAATTCTTGGAGCTATTCCGAGCTATCCGTGCTTCGGTACGCCGACGTCGGCGCGCGGCGTTGCTCAAATTAAGTTCGGTCACGCACGCTTAATCCGATGATTGCGCCGGTTTGTGCATACTAAAAAAACTATTACCATCTATTTCGTAAACTGTATATTATGCATGCGAGTGCACATTTCCTCCAGTTCGAGTTTTGAAATGTTCACATTAGCGCTGGCCGTGAGATTTTGCTCATTAACTTGCAAATCTAGATCAAGTTGAAAAACTACTCGGCATTTTTTATTATTACCAACTTCTTTTGATCAAGTTTATGATAATTTTTTATTTGTTTCGCAATTGACACACCTATGAATTATGTCTTTAAATTCATCATTGCTGTTTATTATATATTTCTAATTGAGCGCTTTTATTAATACGGTGTTTCTTGTTACAGCAGGCTTGACGCCAGTTCCAGTCCCAGTTCAAGTCCAAGTTCAAGAGAATGAGGCTCCAGCCAGACTCGTCAGACTGCAGCAACAGCCGCAGCAGCAACCGCAGCCACAAGATTCCATCGGTTCAACAACCTTCGGAGCTGCCTCTCAATTTGCAGAAAGACCGCCTGACTTCGGGGAGTATGTGGATTTCGGGGCTCATACAGGAGACCATGGGTCTTTCGGCTGGTACGCCGATTACCCAGTGAACAATCATCAAGATTCTAGCTACAGGAAGTAGGTAAAATAATGAGCAAACAAAACAAATCCAAGAATCATAGAAAAACTATAAAGTTTATTGATGATTAGGGATTTTAGTAACAAATATTCTACGTCTCGCTCAGAATTCGTACCAAAATTAGATGCTAAAAGTTGCAATTATCTTGCCAAGCACTTGTTACTCAAATAAGACCAAAGACAGTATTATTCCAAGTGATATCATTAGGTTTAGGTTCGTAGCTGAATAACCGCACATTTGTTACAAACGGTTCATTCCGCTGATACGTTTTTAATGCACTTTCAACGTTAGTTCCTTTTTATTAGAATTAAGTTTACAAAGTACACTGTGATACGTACGAAGCTTAGGTAGTTCTTCTTCTTAGTTCTTGCTTTATCTTCTATTTCTTTCTTCTTCATTTCTTTCTTTTCTTGCACTTCACTGTTACGCTTGCTTGATCACGCTTTTTATCACAAATTGATGTACTTAAATGCTCAAATAATCATCATTCTTATTACTTACCTTGACACCATTACTATTCTTTATTTTCATTTCCTCTATTCTATCTATCTGTTTATGCAACTACTGTATCGCTTCTGAAACTGTTACAAATATAAATGTTACAAATGTTATATTCTTCTTCGTTTCATTTCATGCTAACATTTCATTATTTTCTTCTACATTCATACACATTACCATCTTCACTGCGACGACTATTATATAATTCGTATCAACATCATACATTTAATTCATCCTATCTACTGTATGTCTGCATGCATCTCCAATCGGTTTCCAGCCTTGTGTAAGATTTGTATGGTCATAATACAATGCTACAGAAAATAAAACTTTACATATTCAACCAAAAATACTTAGTAGAAGATGTAAAATGGCATAGAATGCATTTACCACGCATACAACAGCTTCATCTGACTAAGATAAAATAAACTGAATCTCAATCTACGTCCATTTCTATCCTTACTAAACTGTTTTATCATCAACCTATCTTGACCTATTATATGTTCATATTTCACTTTTTAAAAACATCGCATCGTTACTATTACATTATGATCTTCATTTCTCATCAAAACTCCGCTATCTATTGAGAACGCGCTATTTCTCCCACATCACATTTTTCATATCTCGAATCATGAACCACATCTTCCATTTCATACTTCTCTTTATTTGCTCGCTACCTTTTCATATTCATATTTTATACTTTACTAAAATATACTTTTGACTTTGACCTTTCTATTTACATTTTTTTTTCTTTCAACTATTTTTATTTCTTATTTTTTCTATATTATCATCATCTTTCGCATACGGCACATACATATTTGGTTTGTAATGATGATCATACTTTATATTTTTTATATTCTTCATAACTGTATCTCTTACCTACTTCTACATTACTTAAGAACTTCTTTACTTCTATTTACTCTTTCTTGACATCTTCCAATACCTATTTCACTTCTCTTATTGGATTATAATTGAGACTTATTATTTCACTGATATTTTCAAGAAATATTATTTTGCTTCGTATCTTACCATTCTATCATTTACTTGACTTAATTTTATATTTATTTCTTTTTTCTCATCTATACTCACAATCCTATATTTCTTAAATATGAAACGAAGGCAGTCTCTTTTTCTCTATCTTGTTTCAACTTCATCTTTCAATCTCTATCTCTATTACTTCTTTTTATTGAAATTACGATAAATTCTTAGTTTCAAACAATACATTTCGTCTATTACTTATGCTATTTCTAATCTTCCTTATTATCTGTCTAGTCTTTAATTTTTTTATGTATGTTATACTTAATGTTTATCCTTTAATTTATCTTCTTATATTCTATCTTTCATTTTCATCTTATTCTATATAATCTTTTTACTCTTATTAGTTTTGATCTATCTAAGTATATACTTATTGATAATGATAATGATATGTATCATATTTTATTTCTTATATTATCATTATAATTATCTTGCTTTCAACTATTGTGAACCTTATTCTATTCTATCTTAAAGTCAAAATCTTTATCTCTTCTACTTATTCCTTTACATTTCTTCTCCTTATTTCCTTTACATTTCTTCTCCTTCTTTCCTTACTTCTTCTTTCGTTTTATCTTCTAAACATTACTTCACTTTCAATCTTTACACACATAATATCATATTATTCATCATTTTTACCACTCATAAATATTTTCCCTATCGTCATTTCTTCCTATAGCCACATTTTATGTTGGAAATAGCACTTTAAATTCTTTTTCTCTACAAATACTTTGACTTTTATCTACTCTTGTTACGCCTGTATTTCTTTAATACAAATTCTTTTTTATTTCTTCTTGTTTCAATAGTTTTAAAATTTTCATCTTAAAAAAAAATCTTGTGTCCTTTATACCTTCCTTACAATTGCTATAATATACATCTACACTTAGATACTGTATATCTTTATCTATCTCTTATTTTTATCACTCTTTCTTTCTATCTATCTATCTACTTCTTCTTTTTCTTACTATCTTCTTCTTTACTCACAAAACGATTACATCTTTTATCATATTTTTTTCTGTTATAAAACTGCGTAGTCTTAAGATTCTTGCCTGCCTACGAGAAACATTATATAAATTATCTGTTTTGTCATAAATTATATCATCAGTCTCATTTACATTATTCTTTATTTTTCTAGAATTATCATCTTATCATATTCTTTATCTTTCATTTCTTTAATCTTTTACCAATTTCCGCCTCCTATTCTTCTCTTTACTCCTTTCTTTTCTCATGACATTTTTATTTTAATTTTTTTAACTTCTCAAGTCTATCTACATTATTAGATTTCTTTTTCTTCTTTACCTTTTCCTACCATTACACCTACTACAACTCTACCACGAAGATCGACTTACCCTTTACTTTTGTTTCTCTTGAACTCATTTTTATCATGACTCTTTTTCTTTAAGGCATTGGCTGCCAATAAAAAACTATTGAAGGCAAATCCTCCGCTAATGTCGGTCACCAGTGACTGCCATGGCGTTTAACGTGTTAACAGAAAATAAGTATTTAAACAATTATATATTTATTTTTGTTTCTACTACTACTACTATTTTTTTCAAAATCATTATTCTATATTTTCTCTTTTGATTCACTTCAAAGCTTCCATCAATCTCTACTCGTCAACTCTTGTCGAAGTACTTCTTTACCGTTTACCTTTTGAGAGAGTGAGACACTATATTTTAGACACGAGATTTGATTTAAAAAGCCAAAGATTCTTGTGATAGGTGAAATAGTACGAAAAAGATAGTCTAATAACCATATGGTAGCACATACTGAAATACAGCTCAAATATTGAAGTTACTGCGATGTACAGAAGTATTAGTGGAACCATTGCAAACAAGGTATGGCGAGCTGTGCAGATGGCAATGCAAGAATGTTTCTACCAATATTCTGGATGGGATAAAAGTACTGCAGTTTTGAACTACCTACGCAGATATGGGCAAAATGATCCAGTATTGGAGGCTACGGACATGGTGGATTATCATTAATCATCATTTTTTTCCAAACTGCCAAAAAGAAGGTTATGTTAAACGGTCGATGTAGGCTTGGACACACACTGCACCTATGAGGATAGCGAATCTACCTTTACATGTCTATCTAAAATACCTTGCAAACTTTTTTCTATTTCTACATTTACAAAGAAATTATTCTTTTCTATAATCCTTTACAGACTTTTTACTCACTGTCCTTTATACTTATACACTTCTATTCTCTTGTTATCTTCTTTATTCTATTATGCTTTTTTCACCTGCTCTTTATTTACTCATGTTTCACACTACTCTTCTATCTTTACTTTAATCTTTACTGCTCTATTATTTCATTACTATTTTGACTCTTTTCGATACTTACTACTCAATTCTGCTTTTCTATCTTATTCTGTCTTTACTATATTCTTTAATCTTCATACTCTTTTTATTTCTTCATTTATTGCTCTATACTATTTCTTATTTATTCTCTTTTCTATCTTATATTCTTGCTTATCCTATCTGTCTTTATTTTTCCTATTTTTATTACTACTCTTTACATGTTTTACTATTCTTGCCACTTTTTTATATTTCATCTATAGTACCTCCTATCCTATACCTACTTTATTGCATGCTTATATATTTTCTTTCATATTTCTCCTATTTTTCTTTCTTCTACTCTATGCTCCTATCCTTTCTATAAATACTTTCTTCTGCTATCTTTCATTTTCACTTCTTTCTTGCACTTTTCTATCTTTTTTCTCCTTTCCTTTATTCTTGTCTTTCTTTTCTATTCTTCTTTCTTCTTCTTTATACCAAGCTACCTGGTGCGATTTAGAACAAATTACTTCTAAGTATTGTTGCACAGTATTGTTATTTGTTGTTGTTATTAAATCATTGTTGATTACCTGACTATTGTTTTTTTATATTTTTTTTATTTCATCATTACAACGATTAATAAATTGTTGAAACGGTATTTTGTATTTTTATTTTAATGCAGTATTTGGTGATAACCCTTAATTGTATGTTAAATCAAATCATAAGTACGAAATGTACTTACTATTGTATTGTTTAAAACCCTTTTTTATGACTGATGGTAACTTTTAAAGGCGCCTTTGGTTGGAATTGACTGTAGTGTGTGTGACACCTCGTCCTATAAGTAAGTAGTGTAAGTTAGATATTAGGACACTCAATTAAAGTTATTCATTACAACAACACGTGCTTGACCACGTGCGTGGCAAGGGTAAACCATGGACAAAAGCTTTAAAATAAAAATCTCAATATTTTTAATACTTTTATTTCTTACACTTAACATATAATCTCGTACAATGATATTTAAAATAGATTTCTTTTGATCTCATCAACAGCATAGATAGAGTGTTTCGATCTAAGATTCTACTTACATATAATGACAGACTACCTATACATAACAGGTATACACATATAAACAGAGATGTACATAGGTAGTACATAAAGATAGGCAAGAAGAATCATTTGTATTTAGAACATAGATTTAAATACTTTTTTCATATTGCAACCTTTTATAGACCGCTGGATTGGCATGATTAAACATCGGCACAGATTAAACAATGATGTGCTCTATGAATTTTTTTTTAATAATTAGGCAAAGGTTTTGTACAGACAGATGCTATAATACATTCTTGACATTTAGCCACTGTTTGGCACATTATGATGAACACTATTTTTCCTCTGTAAGCCGATTTATGGCCATCATTACAATATTATGAACATTTCATAAATCAACTAAAATCGCGGGTTTCTCACGTGAATATACTGAGCTGCGCGACATCGCCGCGACCGCCCACGCTGCTCAGGAGGAAGAACCCTTCTGTGGTTCGAAATAGTAGAGCTTTTCTCAGTATATATAGGTGAGTAACTAGCGATTTTAGTTAATTTAGTATGTCTCACGATAGTTATTATAAAAACATTTCATGAATCAATGATTTTATGCATAATTTACATACTTGCCCTTCAATTTCTTTCCTTTTCACTATCAATTTTTCAAACCAAAATATCTATATTTATATAAAAAGTGCCTAAAATGTTAGCCCGTATTACTAAGCCGCTGAAATCTACAGGCAATTCTTGGAATTTAATTTCAAAAAAGCAACATTAATAAGAATAATACTGATAAACTCAGACCAAATAAATAAAAAATCACAGTTGATACTTACTTTACTATTTAAAGAAATAAATAAAAAGAAATTATTTAAGATCAAACCTTAGGTTTAGTTTGTACGTTTGAGCTGTAGACCTTTCTAGACTTTTAAGAGTTTATTAGTTAAAAAAATATTTTACGCAATAGCCAAAAATTTTCTTCACACCGCGTAATGTCAATATTTTGCGCAAATTAGTTTATTGGTTGCGCATAATTCACAAATATGCGCAAAAATTGTTGCGCACCAGGATATCAGTTTTCTATCTTTAGTACTCTTTTAATGTCCATAATTATGTAAAATATTTTAAATTAATCTCTTTAAACAAATCCGTTGCGCTAACCGTATCCTAACCATACATAATAAGACACTGTTAGACAATCACATATCTTTGCTTTCCTACCAAAATCTTTCAAATGTATGACAATATGATAAGTTTGCTTAAAATGCTGAAGTAAATTCTACTTAGGCCAAATTACTAGAACATTTTATATGAGTGTTGCGCTACATGTTATACCTGAAGCAGCGTAACATGTTGCTGTATCAAGCAGTGTAACATTAGATAAGAAGGTAATTACAGGTATTTTAAGATTCAACGCTCGTTAGCGATTAAAGGTAAGTAGAGAAATATATTTTTGGTATAAAGCTATAACTTTTTATTGTGTTTGAGACACTATTTACTTTCGTAGAAAACGCTAGGTTTATATTTAAAACGTTAAAATTTTTAATTTTAGGCCGAAAGTTAAAATATTACACATAATCAAAGTCTGATATAACATAAAATAAAATGTTGTCATTGCAATCTATGGGGTCAATATCCATCTGATATTTTGACTGACCCAGAGGTATACTGAGGGCTCAGAACAAGTTTATTGTACGTTTAATAAGAGTTCGACACTCTGATTGGTTAGTTCATTAGAGCCGTCCAATTAAAGATCTTAGTACGAGTTTTTTTTACGTTTAAAGTAATCGAAATGAGTAGGCGTTCGGCGATCTGATTGGCCAGCTGCAATGAACCAACCAATCAGAGCGCCGAACGCGGCCTCGTTTCGATCTCATAAACGTAAAAAACACGTACTGAGCCTCTGTTGTATTTTTTTGTCAATGCAAAAACGTTTAGTTTTGTCTCCTTTGTTTTACAATTTGGATTTAGTTCTCAAACACAACAAAAGGTGTACAAGTTAATCTTATAAATACATTTATATTACACTATACATCAATACACATTCGAAACGGCTAAGCTAAGCTTTGTCTAACATCAAAAATTTTCAAAGACATTTGTTTGTAGCAGAGATAAGAAAATATTTCACTACATTTTATTTTTTGTTTTGATATGCAATAGTAGGCCTTGTACTGTCAAGGAAGGACATATAGCATCTTGAATTACGTCGAATTATATATACAGGGTGTAAATGGAACGCCCGCGAAAAAGCTGACAGGTGATGGTAAAAACAAGTTTGAATTGAATATTTCTTTTATGTATTAACTAGCAAACCCGGCGAACTCCGTTTCGCCACGAGATGGCTTCGTTTTATGTAACACTAGCGCCCCGGCCCGTCTTCGCACGAGTGCAATATGCATGTATTATACATATAAACCTTTCTTAAGAATCACTCTATCTATTAAAAAAAACCGCATCAAAATCCGTTGCGTAGTTTTAAAGATCTAAGCATACATACGGACATACAGCGAAAGCGACTTTGTTTTATACTATGTAGTGATTTCGTTTAGTGATTAGTGAATTTTCTTTGCTATAAACCTGACGGAGCCCGAGACTTTTCCAACGAATGCAAAACCGCGGAAATCGGTTCGTGCGTTCTAGAGTTATAGCGTCAGGAAGGAAAACCCGACTTATTTTTATATAGTAGATAGTTGTAATCAACTGTTCGAGGCTGATGTTATATGAATGACACGAAAACAGAAACTATTAATATTGTAAACACAATTTCTTTTTGTCAACGTTTCCGGACTGTTCCGTTTACCCCCTGTATTTATCACTTCAGAATACATCTTTCTGTCTTATGGAATACTACCACAGAATTATTTATTCACTGATACATGAATAACAAGTAAGAGGTATATTAAACGGTTTATGATCTTACTCAACAGTACATCCAAACGAAACACCATTATACAGACCGCGGTAGCCTTCGATCCCTTGGTACAGTATAAAATTGTAGATGAGCGTAGAAAAATAAATACATATTTTATAATAATTATATAAAATATGCGTAAAACAATCTGACAGTAAAGGGACTCGTACAACTCCCGAACAAATTCTAAACAAGCAAGCATAGACAGGATGTTATGAAAAACTGATAAAAAATAACAGTTTTTACAACAGCCTGTATAGAAAAGATGAAAGTAAGAGAGCACCATTGTAGAAGTATGAGCAATTAGCCATACACGTTAATTAATAATATATTAACTAAAGCCTCGTATCTACTATGGAATATCTTCAACATGTTGCAACGCGTGTCCTGTTACATGTTGCGTGATGTTGGATATTGACTAGTAATTTTATATCTGTAACATGCAATGTTTCACGTCAGTAGAATCTCCATCTTACTATAACGAAACTAGATGAAAATTAGCCGTCTATGTCATAAAAAACACTCTTATTTGGCCATCTCGTAACATGTAACGTTGCAAGCTAGAGATGCTCCTTTTGTATAAAGTTACTGCAACAAGTAACAGTAACACGTTGCGTAACATGTTATTCTTCCACGAGGCTTACTACAAATATGAAGTACTGCGCCGCTAGATCACGTGTATCTACACAATTAACACAATTAACTACCCATTTTACTATTATTATTATTTTAACAAATTAATAATACGATTATTACACCTCTATTACCTTTATATTATTAATAGAAATATGAAGGCAAGAGAAATAACACATTATTCTGCTGTCAGATACGTTTCATATTCAAAATGAATTTTGTAGAAAGATAAGTTCGTTTTGCGTTAAACAGATGTCGCTAGTGACGAGTTGTGTCCTCTAAGTCTTATAGGAATGTAATTTTATTATATTTTTAATACCGGTAGACTGTTGTAGGTAACTCATGATTCTGGAATACCTAAGAATTTCAACTTTTTCATACTCAGCAACTTTTAATTAATTATTTATTTATTTTATTTACCTATGACGCGTAACTAACAGCAGTCTTATATTAACACCAATAGTTTAGGAGGTTAGATACAGTAAACATCAATATAGATTGTATTCTATTTAACTCAGAGCTTCTTTTACGTAATGCTTGATATAGAACCCTTAACCACACTGACAACTTACACTCAGTTTTTGTGCCTGACACCCACACCACCTGAGTGCTAAGCACGAATAACTACCGCATTCGTAACGTAATAGTATCGAGCGCGTTCGGCGCTCTGATTGGCCGGCTCAAGTGAACCGACCAATCAGAACGCTTAACTCGATCGATATTGTTACGATACGAATGCGATAGTTATTCGTGCTTGGCCCTCAGAGGATAAAGATACGTCGACAACAAATCAAACTTAGACATAAAAAAAATAATTCCATTAAATAAGTATTACGGAATTTTCAATACAACGATAATCGTTAACAACACTATGATTTGATTCTAAGTGTTAGACGGGCAAATCAAAAACCAAGAGTAAGTGTCCGAATTAAAGTCTTATTTAATAATACCGATTACATGACAGTAACTATTATATTAATTATTATTCCTGCCCCATTATATGACGACAAGATCCAGTAATTACAGATTAAAAATATTTACTTCTTAAAAATAATAATTAATCCTATACTAACCTCCTTCTCTCGTCCATTGATCTTAGGCATACATTAATACACATATAAAATGCATATAACTAGCCTAGTAAACTGAACACAATCCAAATTAGGTCTTATGTTCTTTGGTATAGGGTGCAATTTACACTAATAATAAACTGTCTAGGAAAAATTGTGAGTAGCTGTTAAAAAACATACGACAGTCATTTCTAGAATGTTCTATTTTCGTAAAAACATCTAGTAATTAATCTCACCCATATCGGCAGTGCTAATTTTCGCAAAGGTACCAATTGTAGTAAATTACGAATATCGAAACGTACGTAGTACAATCAACAGATTTTAATTATAACCCAGCTTAAGGTTGACCTACAGACTACTACCATATCTCTTGATGACTTTGTTGTTTTGACGATTAGAAGCATTTTTTTAAAGTGGGTCATGACTTAAATATGTCGATTGTACATGTAGGTATATCTAATTTCCACTATGTGCTTCTATGTCCTATATATATACTATGTATAATATCAAGATAAGCATAGTTAGGCGTACACTCAATTCCATACAAATTTTATTATTAACTAAACATTTAAAATGTCTTAATGCTGACTAGTCGACTATTTAGTGTTTAGCTGTTGAGCTAATGAAAAATGACTAAATAATTTCTACTTTACGTTGTTTTATCGATAAATACACTAGGTAACATAAGAATAGGTATTTTTGTCTTGATGGGGGCTACCGGATTTTTTGGAGTTTTTCACCAGATGGAGCTAGTGTGTCTATTAGTCCAATAGGGTATTAGCGGGCTGTCACAGCATTGGTCATAAAGTTTGTGACAGGACAACAAACATCTGGCTAAATTAACGCCATGTGGTGTTTGAAAAAAGGTAACTCCCATTAAGAGTTACGTCTTGGTGAATTTTTGGTATAATATACTCTATCTCTTTTCTTCCTTCCTAAAACCCTAGTGTTGTTTATTCAAGCATTTTTATCGATAAAACATTGCTATACCTACCACGATTCACCTTCAATTTATATTGTAAAGCACAGAAATATTACAAGTACCTACGTAGGTATATTTTACACGAATCTTATATCAAAAATTTGACAGATCTTCACTTTATATTAATTATTATTCTAATTTTAATTACATCTGAATGAATAATACTTCTTGTTGTATTTATTTTGTAAGTATATTTATTTTTATTAGAATGTTCCATAATAGTTATCCTGAGTTTTAATTTTAGTACGAATTTAATAATTATCAATACCAAGTACAAACGCGAATTTGGTAAGCTACAGTACCTATATTAGTTATTTAAAAGTAATAAATATTTTTTCTATTATATTATTATTACGTCACAATTCACCTTCTGGGGTTTTCTTTAGTAATTTCAATACTTTAATTATTCACGCAATCGTACCATAAACCATACCGTGTTTTAGCTTTTTCTATATTCCACCATCAAAGCTAAGCATTAACTATCAATCCACAAACTACTTATACCATTACCACCCTTACCAAAATCAATATGTCCAAACCAGTCCTTTCTTTTTCTAACTATCCATTCACTTTTAAACGCCATATTTTAATATTCATTTTTATTACAATTTTGTCAAAATCTGGATTAAGATTTTATCACTTTTACGACCTTTTGGTCCGTATATCGAAAAATATTTTGACAAACGTCATTACAAATTGACTTAATAGTCCAATCGCATACGAAAAAATCTTGCAAGATCCAATATTTTTACGATATAAGGACAAAAGACACTTACAACTATATGCAGTAGTCACCAAAAACAGCTCAAAAACCACTGCACACGATTATAAGCCTTATTGAAAATGTGATAACGTGTATAATGGGGTGATTACCGTTAATTAGCCCAGGCCATGACGACCTTGGAGAAGGGCACGAAGAGCGCGGTGTGCAGGGGGTGCGCGAGGAAGTACCGGCGGCCGCGGTACAGCCCGTCATTGCGCGGCAGGCCCGGCGCCGCGCTGTGGACCAGCTCGGCGCCCACCACCACGGAACTCGTCGCTGTACTGGCGCCCGCTAGGCCTACGTATCTGGAATTGGGATACATTAATATTATACGGTACCATTGACTTGAGACTAAATGACTGCATAGTACGGGCGCAGTGGTTGGGCGACCGGTTGCCGCGCAATGTGCAGCGGGTTTTTTTCATTTAAAATGGCACAAACCCTGTGTTCTGGATGCCATCAAAACATAACGAACACTGATAATATTAGTTGCTTTGTATGCAAAGAAAGCTATGATCTGCTATGCGCTAATATTTCAAAGGATGCATTCTGGAACATGACGGAGCAGAATAAAAACATATGGAAATGCCAACTATGCCGATGTAAAACCCCCAAAACGGGCAATATAAATACACCGATACGTCAACTTAATAATGATAGTATTAATTCAAAGCCGAGAGATGCTACAGATCATAACATCACCTTAAGAAAAAAGACAACTACCCTCAAAAACGACACCATTGACGATCTGAGTATCTTTGGCGACACATTTTACCCAGAAGAAAAGGAGCCAGCTACTGCCGATAAACTGGTTACAACTTCACTACAAAATTTAAGCGAGATAATAATACTACGTTTACAAGAGAATAATAAATGCATAATATCAGAAATTAAAAACACAATAGAGATGGAAATAACTAAAGCGATAACTAAATTGAAAGAAGATATTGAAATAAAGATTAGTTCACTACAAAAACAAAACGACTCGAATACCCTACAAATGGAAATGATAAACAATAGAATTGAAGCTCTAAAAAATGAAACCCTAAAGTTAAAAAATGAAATAGACTACCTTAAGGAACTTCAAAGCACTCCGAAGTTACAATACAACGAAAATACATCTAAAAAAATCGTAATATATGGTTTTCCTGAAAACTATGAGGAACCAGAATATGAGCTCCACAGAAGATTAGTTGATATGTTTTATGAAATTCTACAGGTTGATCTCACCGGATATGTTGAAGAAATGTATAGAATTGGAAGAAATACTACAAGAAACCGACCCCTAGTTATTGAACTCATCAGTAAACAAATGACTAAATACATATTACAGAATAATAACTTCTTTCAAGGAACTGGAATTTTCATGTCAAAGTTTTTAAATGAAAACGAGCGAAAAGACCGAAAATTAATGCATGAAGAAATGCTGAAAGCACGAAAGAACGGCCAATACGCAAAAATCAGAAATAACCAGTTATTTGTAGATGGAAAATTGGTACAAATTGGACAAGACACGCAAACAAAGACGACCAATGACGCTATAAGAAACAATAATGCAAACAAACAAGTGAAAAATAATAACACTATCTCGACCCTAAGTCAACACGATTCACCTAACCCCAGTGGAAGCTATAACTACAGCAATATTGGAAAGTCTTCAATTAATACATTTCGAAACTTTCGAAACTACAGGACAACAGTTTAATGTTCTCTTTCAAAATATACAAAGTATCTGTAACAAACAATATCTTTTGGAAGCATTTGTCCAAGATAATCCAATATATAATATAATATGTCTCTGTGAAACATGGTTGTCGTTAGAAAAGTTAGAAAATCTACATGTTGAAGAATATAAAATAGCGGCCTCATATTGTCGACGGTCTCGGGGAGGCGGTGTATGTATCATGGTACAAGACCACATAGAATTTAAGGAAGTCTGCAATATTAGAAATATGTCTGTAGAATACTGTATAGAAACATGTGCAATAGAATTACCTAGGGATAAACTGTTAATTGTTACTATTTACTGGAATAGGAAAGAAGAGGAATTATTTATTTTTAAATTAAAACAAATATTGTCATTCATATATAAAAAGTACTCAAAGTACGACGTAATAATAGGAGGAGACTTAAATATAAATGTATTAGAAAGTAATTTAAAAACTAACTTACTACTCGATCTCATGTTAGAATATAAGTTTACACAGCGTATAAAATCACCAACACGCATTTCTCAAACAAGTTCAACTTGCATAGATTTAATTTTCACAAACTTTAACCCAATTAATAATTATGTGACTTTTGAAGAATTAGGATTTTCAGACCATAGTGCTACTATCTTACATATGAAACTAAACAGGAAAGAAATCATTGAACCCATGATATGGCACACAAAACAACGATTATTTAACACTGACAACATAAAACATTTCAGGACTGAATTAAAAAAGGTAAACTGGAAGAACATACTTACAAGCAATAACAACGTGAACGAAAATTATCAAATATTTAATAATACGTTAAAGATTATTTTAGATTCGTGCATCCCACAGAAATTAGTCAAGATTAATAAAAAATTTAAAAAGAACTGGTTAACAAAAGGAATAAAGCTATCGTGCAAACATAAAAGACAGTTAAAAGTCTTAATACAAAAAACAAATGACCCCATCCTACACAAATATTATAAAACATATGAAAAATCCTTAAAGAAATCTGTAGAAACTGCAAAGAAAATGCAATATATTAATAGAATAAATAAATCATCAAATAAAATCAAAACTATGTGGAGTGTAATAAATGAAAAAACAAACAAAAAATTTAATAAAGATAAAACCAATTTAAAGCTACTAGTAAATGAGAGGTTTGTTAGCGAACCCAAAGAAATAACCACCATCTTTAACAATTTCTTCGCATCCATCGGTGAATGTACCCAAAAATCCGGTAACGCAGCAAAAGGCGACCCCGTTGTATACCCAGCGGATACCACAATGTTTCTAAGCCCCGCAAACCCATACGAAATAAATAAAATACTTAAAAACCTAAAAAATAAGATGAGCTACGGCATTGATGAACTTCCCCCTTCCCTTCTAAAACAATGTGCGGATGAACTCACACTACCATTTTACATACTGATCAACCAGTCCTTTGAAGAAGGAACTTTTCCAGACTTATTAAAAAAAGCTTTAATAAAACCTATTCACAAAAAAAACTCTAAATCGGACCCAAATAACTATCGACCCATAGCGCTATTACCAACTGCTTCTAAAATCTTTGAAAAGATTATGTGTGACCGAGTCTATTCTTTTTTCGAAAAATATAAACTCCTTGATGACAGTCAGAACGGTTTCCGTAAAAATAAATCCACAACCCTAGCAGTCTATAAATACATCCAAGAGGCTCTAAACATAATAAATAATAAAAACTATGCCATAGGTATACTGCTGGATATGACGAAAGCCTACGATAAGGTGCAATTTAAAATATTGTTAAACAAGCTGTACGGACTAGGAATACGAGGAAAGGCTCACGATTGGTTTACATCATATTTAAAAGATCGAAAACAAATGGTAGAAATAGAATATTATAATAACAACACAAGAGAAATAGAAAGAGTAAGATCCAACGATAAACAAATGACAGCATCTATTCCTCAAGGAAGCGTCATAGGTTGCCTGCTGTTTCTTATCTACATAAATGACCTACCAAAATCAATTACCGGCCCTTGCGTATTGTTCGCGGATGACATATCCTTACTCACCGAATGTAAAAACAACATAAATATAAATGACAAACTTTGCACTCTTCTCTCTCAAGTAAATAATTGGATGTATAACCATAACCTAGAAATAAACTACACAAAAACTAAAATAATAACTTTCCATCCCCACCAAAAACACCACCTTGATATAAATTTCAACTTTAAAGGAACAAATCTTGAACAGGTAAACGACTTTACGCTTCTCGGATTAACTATAGATACACACCTAAACTGGAAGTCCCATACGCAAAAAATACGAGCAAAGCTCTCAAGGTTTTCTTATGCCTTACGCGAACTCAAAAAGACAACAAACTTACAGACCGCTCTAATAACTTACCATGCATACGCGCAAGCCTGGCTTAACTACGGTATAATGTTATGGGGAAATAGCACGGATTCACACACAGTATTTACTTTGCAGAAAAAACTAATCCGAATAATGGCAAATATCGAACAAACTGACAGCTGCAAACCATACTTCCAAAAATATAAAATACTTACCCTTACCAGCCTATATATCCTGGAGATATGTAAATTTGTTCGAAAATACCCAGAGTTTTACAGTTCCCGCGATCAGAAGCAAACCAACTACTCATTACGCCACAAAAACAGATTGAACTTACCCACATCTAGACTAAAAATTTACCATTCTGGCCCTCTGGTAATGTCTATAAAGATATACAATAAACTGCCAAGGGAAATTGTAGAGGTAGAAAAAACCAATATATTTGTATCGAGACTAAAAAAATATTTAATAGATAAATGCTATTACACTCTTAAAGACTTTTTTGATGACAGTATAATTTCTAAATAATTCTTAATGTTAATACAAATTTTGTTAACTGTACTGTAATTTTTAATATTGTGTGTAATTTGTTAATTAATAATAATAATTGGTCTTTTGTTTTTTGTTCGTATAAATTATATCAAAATGCTCAAATATCGTTTATGTAATGTATTGTGACTCTGTAATGCTAGTTTGTTTTTTTTTTTTTTTTTTGTATTAAAAATATATTTTTCCTTGCTGTGCCCGACAGGGTCCACAATGAACTGTATTATCCTATGTTACCACCTAAGAAAAACATTGTGGAACGCAATAAAGAATTTGAATTTGAATTTGAATTTGGTTCGATTCCCGCACGGACCAACTCTTTGTGTTATCCATATATTGTTGTTCCGCGTCTGGACGTCATGTGTATGTGAATTTGTATGTTTGTAAACGCACCCACGATACAGGAGAAAATGATAGGCAACATTTTTTTTAAAAAAGAAAAAATAAAAATTGGGCGTAGAAAAGTCTACGACGTAAGGAATGAAAGAAATGGAGTGCATGCAAACCTTTGCCCTGCAGTGGAACGACCATTGCTAATACTACCTACCGAACGGGCGTATTCCGGCGTATACTTTACTGAATAACGAAGATACCGTTAAGAGGTTTATCATTATCTCAGATTTGGCAGACGGCTTTAAGATCGTACTTAGATCACTGAATATTTAGAAGGAAGTTTGCGCAAAATCAGCGCAAACAGGTGTAAATTGAAATAAAGTAAAATCAACTAGGGTGCAGTATATTATTCCATCCCCTACCTGACACGTCCTACGGCGATGCGTCCGTGCGGTGTGATCACCTTCACAGTGTGTCCGAGTCTCAACTGACGAGGTTCCGAAGGGATGTACGGCTGACCAGTCACACCGATTGATTTTTCCACTGAAATATCATACATTTGATAAATTATTCCCTTAAATATGGGAAAATGTGGACGTATTGCACGAAATTAGATTGTTTATTGCGCTACAATAAAGAGTGTGACTGTATAGAACTTACAGTCAATAGATGGCGCCTGCAAATTGTCAATAGATCGCCTCACAAACATTTCGGCTTCTTCTAGCAGTTCATCAGTATCGTCACGACGGACATCTGGTAGAGAGCTACGCCAGGGACGGCTAGAATCTGAAAATACATACAAATAAAATCATCATGTCATTAACATAATGCGCAAAAACATTGCGCAAGTTTGCGCAAAAGACTCTATATTTAATTCTGACATAATTATAAAATACGAGTTTATTAATACAATATTTTTAAAATTGTTACGTTTTTTTATAAATATCAAAATGTATGAAAGACAATAAAAACTGACCTCTGGATGACGGTAAGTACATATTCTGCGGCGTCCAGTCGTTGCTCCTGTCTATACTGAGGCACGGCGAACGGTAGGACGAGCCGCGAGACAAGAATCTAGGTTAGAAAACGATTACACGTAGAGTATACTATATGATATTCGAGTCATATGCTGTTACTAAAGGTTAAAAAAACATTTTCAATCACATATTATATATTATAAGTGTGGGAGATCCATGCTTCGGTACGAATGGGGGGCTCGACCGGAGTGATACCACGGCCTCACAGAAAACCGACGTGAAGCAACGCTTGCGTTGTGTCTCGTCGTGTGAGTGAGGTTACCGGAGGCCCAATACCCTCCCCTTCCCCAATCTCCCCAATTCCTGAATCCCCAACGATCCTCAAACTCCTAATCCCCAAAAGGCCGGTAACGCACTTTTAATGCCTTTGGTGTTCTAGGTGTTCATGGGCGACGCCGATTGTTTACTATCAGGTGATCCGTCTGCTCGTTTACCGATTTAAAAAAAAATTGTAGAAAAAGTATGATCATTAGTGTTATAATTCTAGATTTATAACACTAATGATCATGATTCAGTAAAGAAAAAGTTACAATGAACGAACAATATATCGAGTACTTACTTGGAAGTAGAGGTCGTGGTAGAGTCGTCAGGATGTGACTGTCGCTTGCCCAGCGCCCACACGGGGTCCGCCGACCGAGACAACTCCGGCACCATCGAGGTGAACCCTGGAAATTAATAAATGAGGACGTTTTATACGAACCTTTTTAATAATAATAATAAGAAGAAGATTCATACATCTTCAACCCGTTACAGTCCACAATCGGAACATGCACCTTCACTACATCAAAGGGATTTACACATAATATTTTTATATGTTTACATTTTTTATATAATCTTTATATTTGGTTGAAAATAGTAGTTTAAAAGGTGTAGATTTATCAGAAAGAGCTGCTGTCTTGTCAGTGTTAAATATTTATTAGTAGACTTTTATGACTCCCGCGGAAAGGGTAGTAAGGGTGGTAAAAATTGGATATTACTCTGCTGTAGCCACAAAGCAAGGCAGAAGAAACAGAAATAAATGTAGGTGTTACAATATTACATACCAATATCACTGAGTAGCACTCGTCGCGTCTCGTCGGTGCGTCGTACAGGTGGCGGGGGGCGCGCGTCCGGCACGGTCAGACGACGCGTCGTGGTCACTGCGCGAGATGGTACTGTTGGCACGCTCGTTGGTGGGACTGGCAACTATAGAAACATGACAATATTAATATAATAAAATTGAAAGATGGTTGAAGATTAATTATTTAATTATTTGAAAATAATCTAAAAGATATGCGAGATGATTATCTAATTAAATTACATTTCTTACACAAATCCATCTGCTACTATGTTGTGGTCTATCGAACCGATAAAAGAAGGATAGCTTGGAGGTATCGAGACGAAAACACCATACACTCAGATCTACGAGTGTAGGATTATACTACGAGAGACAGATACGAGATACTACGAGAGACAGATACGAGATACTACGAGAGGACGAAGATACGATACGGCTACGGCACTCAAGGCGATTGTATGTTTTGTCTAAGTCTTGGAACTATGCATGAAACACTACACTAGCTACGTAATTACCTTATGCGCAAGATATCCATCGGAGCTCCACCGCGGTGGTAACGCACACACGTCAGTTTGTGCGCCGCTCTCCCGGCGAGGATGTGCACCGTCGCGTAATACTGGTCGGAGGCGAGCCGTGCCTGCCTTGAACGGACCTGGAGGCCGTGACACGCCTCGGAAGTTCGATGGTCTGCAGAAGTAAAGGGTCATCTCATCATTAGGTTTAGTCTCTTCAATTAGAGTTTACCTACTTTTTGGTAGAGTTCTAAGGAAATAAACATGAGCAACTATTAAAGTAATGGATACTAAACACATTCCTTTGACATATTATGAATAGAAAAAGGTACATTTTGATTTGGCTTTTAATAAAAAAATGTGAACTCACCTATACTGAAATGGATTAGGGCAAGTATTCCTTCTAACATTCAAGTTAGCGGCCAGGTCATCTTCTGACGTACCACATTTGGAGATATCCGTCTCCGCGAACACGGAATACCGATGTCCTAGATTAATGTTCCTGTGGAAACTGTCCACACTCTCCTCCCTATGTAAGATGTCCATGCTGGAACCGAGTTCGAAACTCGAAGACTTCGTGTTATCAAAACTTAGGCCTCTGTTGTACTCGCAAGTGAGGCTGTCGATACTGTCCAGCCTCCTTGAACTCGTGTTAGGGCTCTTTCTGTACAGCATATTATCTGATCTGTTGTCACAACTCTTCAGGATACTACGGCCGGGGAGATCTAAGTTTCCTTTCCCATTGAAGGCGACGTGTCTGATCTCCTTATCGTTTGGGAGCGAGACCCTCTTCTGTTTGGAGACTTCTATCGGTCTCTCAGTGTTCTCCTGGTTCTCCGTCGGAGAGGTTTTAATCTCCTGTCCTGGTTGGAAGTCAGGGTCTAACGTGTGGAATTTAATGAGGACCGGTGTGGAATGCGCCGTAGATGCCGATTGAGGAGCCCATTGGTCGCCCTCGCGAATGGAGACGAGGTCCTCCTGCATTGACGAGGTGGAAGGTTATGGATGTTAAAACAACATGTTTGGATATAAAAACTTAAAATAATCTTGTCTTTTTTGACTGCTTTAATATCTTATGAAATAAATGAGACGCATTTGTTACTTAATGGTATTCATATCTTGAACAGCCTTCCGGAAATTTCACTAATGCCATATTATTAACTATCAAAAACTTTGCTTCGTATTTTTGAAAGGTAGCTTATACCCATAGAAACTGTCCAAAAGTTTACGAGTGCCACTAATAATCTTGAGAAATAGTCGAATATCAAGGTTGTCGCCGAACAAAGGCTAATCAAGGCTCACAAATCATAAACGTTATTGCTATAACTATGGTACATAATTTGGAAACCTCCTAAAACTAACATTTCGAATCTGTTCTATTGTCTATTATTACAGCCGAAGTAAACTCAAAAGTAAATGAACAAGAATAATCCAAAGAGTTTAGCGCTTTCATAAATATGTCATTACGCCCAAATATTCTAGATGATGTCTAAAGATTTTATAACCGATTTTATCAATTTTCAGATAGAATGTCAGGGCAAGCATTTGCTTTCCTGACTTCTTAAGCAATATCTTTCGATGATTCAAAATACTCTTACCTGTAAATTACTCATATCCTTGGACTCGTCGGTAGTGAATATAAGTTCTATATCGTCAACCTCTTCCGATTCATTACCACTTGCATTATCTTCTTGTTTCTCTTCACTAGCTGCTGCAGCATTAGGGTCTATGGGAGTCGTGCCCCCTTCGGAAAACACCGAGTTATCACCTTCAGACAACGACCTAAGACAAAGAGAAGAAGAATTTGTATTTAAAAAGTATATGGGGTTATCCATTTTACTGGTTTACAGAACAGGGCTTTATGTAATGTAACAAGATATATTGTGCCGGTGCCATAAGTTATTAAAAACAAATTAGGCCATCAGTCAAAGGCACCTACTTATTTTTCCGAACCTAAAGTAAAGTACTAAGCGATCAATCTCTAACTTTCAGGCTTCGTATCCCAGGTGCTTATACCATACGCTGGATTACCAGAATATCGACGTATTTCAAAATTCTGTCCAATTCTGTGTATGTGGCTATACGTAACAACACAACCTCAATACAGTTTATCGTAATCTTAACGAACAAATTAATCTCAATGAAATAAGAGATGGTTCCTCAATGTTAGACCGATTTTTTTTGAGGGGGGAAAGTCATCGAATGACTTCTCCCGCCTGGGTGAGGCGGGAGGGAGTATCAGACTATTACTGACTAAAAAGCACCCCGTTCCTTCTCCTGCACGTCGAGCCGGAGCCCCGGTAACCCGTTAGGTTCTCCGCGACACTGTAAGACCGAATACAATGCACTACTATCTCAAAAACCAATCGATTTGAAAACTTACAACATATTGAAGCACCGATTTGAAGATCACCACAACTATACACAAGTATGTCTACACATTACGTTTGTCAAAGAAGAAAACATTCCACTTCCTTCTAATAAAACACAAGTAAGTCTTCATTTAATAATATCGACAGCTTAGATTTCCTGTTACATTTCTAGTGATTCTAGTCACTATCGACAAGCGAAACTGGGTCATGTTAGCTTCCTAGGAAATAGGCACACAGGCAATATTATAGTCTAGAAATTCCATTACCGAGTATATTATTATTAGTAACGCCTTTCTGTTTTCTATAAAAGGAATAAAGATGAATAAAATAAGTATTCATACTATTCATTAGTTATTCCATTCATTACTTGTCTTCGGTCCCATTTTACTAGCACAATCGACATAAAATAAGGCGATTTTCCTCTGAATAATGGATATAATATGATAATATCAGCTATTATGCCCTTGAGATAACATAATTCAAGGCCAATTATCTTGTGGGGTTGGAAGAGGATTCGGAAAGTGGATTTCCTCATTATTATATTTGAGACGTGAGCAGAATTCACTAAACGTAATTATTATTTTGGCAGTGAGTCTCAGTTAGACTATAGGAGATATATATTATATTATATAGTGCGTAATTAGTTGTGATCCGAAGATATGACAATATCTATTTTTTTCAAGTTGCTCTGGGGATGAAAGATGAAAGGAAAGAAAGTTTTTGAATTGAGTGGTTTAGTTAATTTTGAATATTGAATTATAACAAACTACTTTTTGGTAAGCAATGCGGTGGAATCATAATTAATTAATCAGATCTAATTAAGCACTTTTAGAAAAAAAAATCCATGATTTTAAAATAAAATTAATTTGAAATTAGAATTCTTAGCCTAACAAAAAATGAAAAAAAATGTGGCCAGTACTGCAGAACGGCAATTTCATAGGTAAAGAGACCAATATAATACTCCCACTCATTATCATTACTTCCATGAAATATTTTAACTCCTCGTCTTTTTGTACATATTGGAAAAAATACTCCACTCCAATTACAACACTACACAATGAACGCGTCGTACCTATAAAATAAAAACAGTACAAACATATTTGTTCTGTCGGAAACTCTGCTTTGTGTACAGCAAACAATAAGTTGGAGTTCCCTGGAAATTAATACGGAATTTACTGCAAATTGCGAGAAGCGAACATTTCCCCTGAAACCTTCAGCAAAACAACGCGATACAAATAAATGCTCACAGATTTATTGGAACGGAAAACTTTGCTTGAGTATGGAAGTTCAATAAACTAACTGGTTGATTGATTATTGGGTCGTAAAGGTTTTGTGTTAAAATGCATAATGTATCATGACAATATTAATCCAAAGAAATCTAGCTGACGAAAAATGTATAATAGGGTACATAAGGTTAAGCACACTACATATCTGATTGAAATCTTCATGAGAAAATGCCAACAGTTAGCAGCGCATCACTCGTCGCGCACGCTGCTCATGATTACGGGCCCCTGGCGAAGCTTGAAACTAGTCGAGTAAACTCGTTCAACATTTGCGTAAGTGAGCAGTTTCACTAGTTACCTCTAAAACGGCAAGCTTATTTCTAAATACAATCACTAAGTCACCTACACTACAACTATTACACAAAAATATCATCATAACTTTATTCCATTTCTCTTTTCGACATCAACAAACCTGTATTTCCTTTGAAAAATAAAAAGACGAAATCCCACAAAACGACAGAATTGTAGACAAAGAAAGACGTTTTAAGATCGTCTTACTAAACCGCTTTGTTAGTTTCACCAGCGAACTAACGAGTAGCGACCACCCTTTTACTGTCTCGAAGAAAAATGGCCGGTGTCATTTTCCTTAGTGGTCTACATTATTCGTCTATATTGTAGCCATTTTGTATAGACAGAGACACGGTGGATAAGTGTCCGAGAATAGTGGGTAAGTAGGTTATCTGTAAAGTATTGAAGTTATTATAGTTATAAAGAAGAAAAAAGGGAAATATAAGCAATAACCTACTTAAAATTATCGTCCAAAAGATATTTAATGAAAAGAAAATTGAAAATTGATTGATTGGTTGAAAATTGTTGAAAATCATCCCCTAAATTTGTTCATACAAAAGTAGTCTCTTAACATTGGAAATAAGGTCTATAATGTAGTTAGTGGAGAGGGGTCACCGGTGACCGCTTGGGGGATATATGGGTTAAAACATTCTTTGATTTGATGGCCTGTCAACCTGTGGTTAAGTTACATAGTTCTTCTACAAAAAGCCATTTCCTTCTTCCATACACTTCCAGAATAGTCCTAAAGAAAGCAGGTATGTCCTCTGTTCAGACGAAAATAAAGCTTACATTCAAGCTACAAGGTTTAAATTTTAACAATTCTAGTGTTCAGTTACAACCTGTACCTTTTTGTAAAGTCATAAATTCAGTCCTGTCTGCAATAAAACTGGCTTTAAAATGTTCTGCCAGCCATATAAAGTGAAAAATTCAAGACATCAGCTTGTGAGTTACGAAACAAAATATTTTATTTAAAGGAAGTGCATTTTCTTAGGTCTGGTCTAGTCTAGAAAACTTTTCCACAAAGAAATGTATATTAATATTCATAGCTTTTATTTTTTTACGTATAGAATTATGTATTTATTGTAATACTTATCTGTAGACGGTGATGTGACGTAATAGTTAGATACTAAAACGCTCATTTGCAATTCAAGTACTACTTTCTTATTGTTTATTTGTTTTTGCAAATATTTTCAGAAATTGAATACGAACGAGACTCTATTATAATGAAACAAGACTAATAAAATAATAACATGACCTAAGTCCCTGTCCCAAGGGGAAATACAGGTCGCGGAGAACCTAACGAGTTACCGGGGCTCCGGCTCGATGTGCAGGAGAAGGAACGGGGTGGTTTTTAGTCAGTAAGAGTCCGACACTCCCTCCCGCCTCACCCAGGCGGGAGCAGTCATTCGATGATATTCCCCCTTAAAAAAGGGTGGGGAAATACAGGTGACATTCTTACCTTACCTCTAGGAGTAAGCGTCTCGCACTAATACGGTTCCATTGAAATTCAGTGTCTCGGTAAGTAGGTCAAATGAAAGGTTGTGTGTCATGTAACAAGACAGTTCCACATGACAGAGCAAGCACTTCAATGCATTGATTTGGGGTATTCCTTTGTGTAATCCATACACGTACATATATACTTACACATACAATTTACTTACAATTTAGTAATATTTAGGTTTTCAGTGGTATATTTGTACATACGTATTATTATAAGCTAAAGTTACAGGCTTGAACTGAATTATTTATTTGTTTATTTATATACACTTTATTGTACACAACACTAATTAAATTATTGGATAGCATCAACATCCAATATAGAGTACGATGTGCGGTCTTATCGTACAGGGTGATTTCTTACAGACAACCTTTGGATGGAGCAGTAAATAGGATAAATAGGATTTCTCAGTATATTCACGTGAGTAACCCGCGATTTTACTTAATTCAGTAAATAGGAGTTTGATATTGTCGTCAAGTGTTCAATGTGCAATATTTCATAACAGTATCAAATACTACTCTACCCGACAATGCTAGCTAAGGAGGAGGCGGGGCGCATGAGGCAGCGAAGCACTGCCTCCTCACAACCCAGCCGTCGCGAAGGACACTCTGGGTGTTGGGGATCGCGAGACGATCTCCGGCAACCATAAGCGCGGGCCTGCGGGCGGCGAGCATGGGTGGCTCGCCCAACCAGAACCAGACCCATTCCGGGAGAAGTCATTCGATGAATTTTCCCCGTTAAAAAAAAGCTACCCGAAATCTCAAGATCAGATCAGAAGTATTCACAATAACAAGAACTCAGTCAATGAAGAAGTTGTTTTCATTATCATCAACAGTCCGTAATAGTCCACAGCTGGACTCTGCTGGACTAAAAGCTTTTTCTACTTAAGAGGAGAGTATTCCCTATTCTCCACGCTTGATAGGTAGGCCATCGGAAAGATTTATCAGAGCTGCTCTCTGGCCTCTGTCCTTAAAAGGCACCCAGAGTAACAATCGCACAATCAAGAACCAATCAAATCAATAATTACAGCATACCCAGTACCAATACATTCTATATCAGCTCCACTCACTAACAAACTGGCACAAACACCCCTTTTTAAAATGTAAACAACAACAGAATAAAAAGCTCTTAAGCCTGAATGACGCAACAGTTACCTGTATCCTAGGTACAACGTACTGTGACCTAATTTACCTATAAATAGCTCACAGCCAGAAACTAGGACACAGGGCATAACATAACTATTTGCTTTATCATTATTCTAGGGCCATAGGCTGAATGAAACGATAGAACGGAGCAGTTTTATTTGAGCGCCATTTTTTGTTCATATTCAGGTTTATTTTTGTGTAGATTGCAATGCAAACTGTAGTAATTAATTGGACATATGGGGCTTTACTTGGTATTACCTAGTAAATATTGTAGAAGGTTAAATATTTGGTTACCTATATTATTTAAAAGCTTATGAGATCATCATCCGAGTTCATAGTTATTTCAATAAATCAAAGACGGAGCAAATTGGGATATTCATATTAGTCACCCTTTTTTGGGAAAAGCGACCTATTGTCTATTTCCTTAGAATCAATTATTGTGTCAAATATGTGCGTTCTGTTGATGCGTCCGCATTTCTCCGAAATCGTGACTAAAAGGGGGGACCGAGTTTCCATGGTGAAGTTTTCCAAGGTTTAAACTTGGTAATAAATGAGTTATCCCTACCCCTAAACATGTATCCAGAATTGGCAGACACGATATCGTGTTTCGCCGCAATATCGCGCATCGTAAATAAAGAGGGTAGTCAGAAATGTGGATGATAGCACTGAATTTTGAGACGTCAAACAAAAACGCGATGTCGTGTGTTGATTCCGTGATTTTTTCGAGGAATAACGGGCATTCCTCTTTTTATTAGCCTTACTTTATCCTTAATGCGTTTATAGGCTCGAATATCTGAATTAATGTAATTTTCAGATTGTCATCTGTATAAAAAGCGGGGCGAAATAACAAACAGCGAGATCTTGATTGAATTTCTTGTCGCCGTCAACTCCCTCGAGTGTCCCGCGCACTGATCTACTTTTAATTTAGAAATCTCAAAAGGATAAGGTTTGTTTGGCAAATAATTGCGTTGAGACCTTTACAAAGAAACTGGAGATTTCATTTCATGATTGGAAATGTGAGGCATAGCCTTAAATAATAAATATCACGACTAATCAATCCTAAAAGGCAAGCAACTGTATTAGGAGTGTTTACCTTGTACTTGAATTAAATCAAGCTGTACTTAGAGCGACCCTGTTTTCATTACCTGGCTGTCACGAATCCCGAATTTCAGGCCCCGTGCCCTTGAATTTGAATAAACTACGGTCCAATCTCAGTTTGCATAATAAGGTAATGAAGACCCTGATGAGTTTTTCAAGCACGTTTATCTCTTGAACTACTCCAGTTGTAAATAATAACTTTTGCATAATTTAACATTGACATTAATCATAACATGGTGCCTGTAATTCCTCGAATAATTAAGAAGTAAGCAGTGTAGGTATAGTATACTCATCCGAATCGAGTCATCAAACAAACCTGAGACCTCAGCAAGTTTGCGGACAAGGCTAGCCATAATGGAAAACCATGGTCCTAGTAGTTATAAAACAAGAGTTGATGTTCCTGCTCCAACTGCTCTTACTGACCAAAAACAACTGGTTTTTAGTTAATAAGAGTCTGATACTCCTTCCCGCCTCACTGAGGCCGAGAGGAGTCATTTGACGATTTTTAATCCTTAAAAAATAAAGGCTTCAGTTGTACCTACTTGTAAGCATTTGATCAACAAGGCCGTCTTTCTTCACCTTTAATATTATAACGCTGAATTTATTTCCGAAATACGTCTCAAGCCCACTCATACTAATCCTCTACCCACGTGATGCAAAAATAATGTGACATTGAAAGGCGTGGGTGTTCCCCCACCTACGAAGACGCCTCCAGAGTATTTTTGAGTTATACAACTTCCATTCAAGTCAAATCTTATAAAGCTAATCTTATTTGCTTCCAATTTGGATTTCAGTTCGCCAGTGACCGGCTACAGTCTATCCCTAGAGACTGCTAAACGGATTAGGAGTTAGGTATTATGATAGAACTGAACGGTTTCTTGACGTTGAAGGCGTAGGGGGCGAGGGGCGTAGAGTTTTCGGCGTGAATCTAATTAATTCGATGTAATGAAATTGTTTCTCGAGACATAGATGTTTGAAGGTAGAAGGTAATCTCAACAACATAAAAGATCCCCAGACCTTATTGGTTGCGTACCTAGTTAAGTGGTTATCACAGAGCGCGAGATAGAGTTTTGGCTTTGATTCCTAGCTTGGGTAAACTAGAATACCTATCTCCAAAACTTGTGTACTTGTAATACTCATCTCATTTGAGCCATGAAAGGTGAATAGTAGCTCATCTCTAAAAAAGTAGGTATGTAAAGCTATATGTTTAAAGGAAGTAAATAAATAAAAAACTGCTGCTGCTTCAACGGCCGACTGCCGGGCAAGGGGTCTCGGGTTCGATTCCCAGGTTGGGCAAAGTATTACCGGGTTTTTTAAAAATCCCAGAAGTAGCACTGAGTCTGGAAATGTGCCCGGTATATGGCAATAGGCTCACCCCCTATTACATGGGACTCATAACATAAATAGTGAAAAGTGGATGTTACATTGTACAGTGACATTAAAGTGCCGTAATGTGCACCTCTGCCTACCCCTTCGGAGATAAAAGGCATGATGTAATGTTATGCTAAATAAAAAAAATATTGGACTCACCTAAGACTCAAATCATCAACATCCAAGTTGAGTGTGTCCTTTCTTCTACTCCTTTCAATATTCTCCTTCACAACCAGGTTCTCCTCCGAGGTGATCCTCACTTGGACGTCAAACTTGTCTGACTTGCTTTTAACATCTGCTTCATTTGGGACAGCCATCCTGACGTTGTCCGTAGTAATAGACTTTATATTCACCGACTTATTATCCACCTGTCCCTCTTTTTCTTGAAATCGTTGACCAGTGAATACCGTAGAATCCTTCTCAAAAGCTCTTCTGTCTTCAGAAGAATCACTCTCTGATGTCGTACTTGAAACAATTGTACCTTCTTTCAATGTCCGAACTTTTATTCGCACATCAAACTTTGATAGTAGCTCAAGCTTAGTCTTAAAACTTGGTTGATGAAGTTCTTCAGGCTCCTCGGTTTCTTTAGGTAAACTAGAGACCTGAGAGATTTCTCCTATTTCAGTATTGTTATTTGCATCATCAGGGGGAATTGACTCTGCAGACTCGTTGAATGCAGGAGATTCAGGGGCTTCAGAAAATTCCTCTACATCCTCTGGAATCTCATTCAACTTCTCGGCTGAACAGAAATTACTGTTCTCATCAGACTCCTGAGGAATGGGCTCTAACTCATCTATAGTGCTGTTCCGGTCTGTAGCAGTTGCAATCACCACTTCACTACTTGTGAACTCTTCAATATTATGTGTATGAGGGTTGTAAGTAACTTCCAACTTTATGTTTTGTGCATCAGGGTCCTTTTCTTGATAATCAGATTCTATAATCCTCCGCCGCAAAATATGGTTCTCCAAAGTCAATTTTTCAATAACATCTGCATATTCTAAGCAATGAGAATGCTGCTCATACTTTTCCTTCAACTGTTTCAGTTCATTCTTGGAGACTTCAAGTGCAGTTCTAAGTGAGACTACAGTCTGGTGCAGTGCCCTCACTGTGTCCAAGTGTACAGCCCCGGAAGGGGCCGCCTCCAGCCTGCCGCTATCCATTCCACCTTGTTACCCGCCAGTGAGCCAACAAACAACATCCCATACATGACTACTGTTTTCTGTTAGCCCTCAAAACACAATCACTGCACTTTCCATTGCCTGGGAGACGGAACTACACCTCGAATAAATAAACAATCATTATCGAGTGTCCCGCGCGAATAACCCGCGTGAATGCGCTCGCCGCCGCCCGCCGACAGAAACTCATCGATGACCCAATTTGTGAATAAAACCGTTCACATACACATACATCATTTCGTCGCACATTCTCAGATCCTTATCAAGACTCGTAGCGGGTTGGAGAACACCGCTAGAGCGGGGCACGGAAGGGCGAGTGATCGATAAAACAACTCGCCCCAAACTGTTGTAATTAGCTTTTAAAGCAACGAACTCGCGGAAGCCTCACAGCTGGCACCGACCACTGATAAAGTCTGACACGGAAGGTAGTAATTAAGCGGGATATTATCTCCACATCTGACAAGGCTGTAGGATATAGCTATAGTGCAAGATACTCCAGAAATCCCCGTGCACTGCTACTTGTAAACAAATCAATACTTCAATTTGGTATTCGCGGGCGCAAGTGCGAGAAGATAAGCGAGACATTTCTGTTTCGGTCTGCTAATGTCAATTTGACATCAATAAGGATGCGTTCTGATTTAAAAGAAAATATATTTCATTTTCAGTTTTACACATTTTTCACGTGAAATTAAAAATATTTACAGTACAGTAAAAATATTTAATTAATTTTCTTCTCTCGAATTTAACATAAATGACTTCTTTTGAATCATCTTTCGCGTTAAGTCATTAATTCTTATTCAATATTTCTATACTGAATTCTAACTAAACGTACTTATACGACAAACGTCAAAGTCATAATCATACGGATTCAAAATAATAACCTCAAAAAGATTATTGTTATTATATGAAATTTGTAAAAATAAATTAAAAGAAGCTTTAAAATGTTCAATATATCAAGTATTTACAAAAATACATGTGTTACTTCATATTTAGTGCTACAGACTCGATATAAAACCAAGATACATTGGGTAAATACTCACTAAAATACACATCGATATTGTATTACAAACTTTGCGTCTTATTTAATGTTTTTAAATTGTTTAACAGTCCAAGTTGAAGAAAAAGACTGGTCCTAAATATAAAGCGTTGAACCATTTCGATGAGTTCTATGCTTCAGTGTTTGGGGACGCTAAATGGCAAGCAATGCGTGAAGCGATGTTGCGGCGTTCGAAATATGTAGCACTTGTGAACAATTACGGAGATGCCGATAAAACAATGGAGGAACTTACTAAAAGAGGTACATCCTCGATATATCTATATCAAGGAGTCGTCTAATCTTTAGTGATTTTATCAATTTTTTTATCTGAAATCTTATTGTAATGATCTTTCTATTCATAGGTTGAACTTGATTTATTTTCTTCTTGTATATCTAGTATCTTTATCTTTATTGTTAATCTAGTATTGTAACTTCAATTACTTTAAAGTGGCATGTGGAAGTGCGGAGTCTCCTAGCACAAGCAACTCATTGCTTATAAGGTGATCTCCAATAATTGTCTCAAATGCCCGTCGTAATTGAAATAAACCTTTATATTCTTATTTAATTTTTATGTCTATGTTTATTTTATTTTATTTTTTTTTATTTATTGGTGAAATTTTCTTTAATAAAAAAACAGTAAAAATATCTTTCTTACAGGAGCTCACTGCCTGAAAAAGTTAATAACAATACAACAAGAGTTTAATAAAGAATACAACATTACTCCTGAACCAACACAAGTTGTTGAGATGGATGGACAGTCAGAAAGACTAACAGAATATATGGAAAGACAACACACAGATGAAATTTCCAATATTTATCCTAATTCTGAGAATAAACCTGAGAAATTGGATATGGAAGATGAAGAAGAGGTCAAAGTGAAGAAGGTGAACCAGGAGGTGTAAGTATTATGTTCATCACTAGGTGCTATCCGTGACTGTATGCACATCCCGTTTCATTTTTTCATACCAACCTTATCATGACTTATAAAGAAGAAAGAATTATCCAATTTGATACAATTATTCTGAAGTTAGCCGTGTTAGCATACATACATTTCAGGGATTCATTTTTATTAATAAGTATTGTTATCATTTAGCCACAGGAGATCTACAGCTATTTAATTACAAAATGTACCGACACATGTCAAATGACATCATGACAGCTCACATGCATATACCATCAATACATAGTATAAAACAAAGTCGCTTTCGCTGTATGTCCGTATGTATGCTTAGATCTTTAAAACTACGCAACGGATTTTGATGCGGTTTTTTTCAATAGATAGAGTGATTCTTAAGGAAGGTTTGTATGTATAATACATGCATATTGCACCCGTGCGAAGCCGGGGCGGGTCGCTAGTTCATGATAAACAAATCTACAAAATCAACGGATGACGTCAAAAATTCATCCCACATGTGAAGTTTACATTTGAATTAACATGTACAGAAAAATCCCAACAATCAACCGTTGGGCAGAAAGTCGGCCAGGCATGAACATTTCGCCTGGTCGGAGGATCCTCTTTTTCCGATCTTTAGGAACATTACTCACTGTTACAGGGAAATAACTGTAATCAAATAGCTTTTTATTGTAATAAAATAAAGTGAATGTCTATTAGTGGACAATGTAAATAAATTTATAGTTTTTCTAAAGACTGATTAAGTTTCCAAAGCATTAAACTTTTGTAAAACGAAAATGTTTGTTTTTGATAAGTTCAATTCAGTAGAATATTTTATTAAGTATTTCAAATTGGAAAAATATCAAAATGACAGTTATTCAATGTTAGATTTATGAATAGAAACCTCTGAAAAACATACAAACATGGATTATAAGATGCAGACAAAAAAATTCAATTTTTTAAAATTATTTTGTTCTATTTTCAGGTCCTTAACAAACAAGACCTTAGACGAATCAATAGCTGAAGCCAAAATAGACGAGTCCCGGATAATAGACCCGTCACTGGGCATGACTTCCGAGTCCCTCTACCAGTTCCTGCCAGCCACAAAGCTGAAGGGAATGGATGAATGGGTCCCTGAGTCAGTGCATTATTCTTATTATTCTAGTAAGTACATAAATTAATTAATAAATACATCTACACAATTAGGGCCAGTTTTTCAATGCTCAGATAAAAACTGAGGAATAACTTTCAATACCTGACAATTTTTCCATACTAAAAACAGTCAAATGTCAATTTTATTCTTCAGTTAAGCATTAACTGATGATTGAAAAAACGGCCCTTAACTGCTAAGTCCCCAAGCGATCACCGGTGACCGCTCTCCACTTACTCCATTATACACCTTATTTCCGATGATTAGAGAATACTTTTGTGTGAACAAATGTTGTAGATTTTTCATAATCAGGTATGCAGTGAATAAGCTAAACTGTCTAGCTAGACTTTTTCTGATCTAATAATCTTTCTCATATTTTATAATAACTATCGTGAGACATACTAAATTAACCAAAAATCGCGGGTTACTCACATGAATATATATACTAAACACCTCTGTGGTACGAAACTAGTAGAGCTTTTCTCAGCATGTTCACTTGAGTAACCCGCGATTTGTAGTTAATCTTTCTATACGATAAAAAATAATGAAATCAACTCCTATTGCTTTATTTTCAGAGGAGAAAGACTTCCCGTTTATTATAGAACCAGAAGGTCCCCTAAAATATCCGGAACATTTGAAAGTATTCACATATGAAATGGACAGTGACCAAACCACTTTCCCAGAGCCAAAGAGATGTCAAACAGGTACCTTTTTTGGTTTTTTCCCTAGCTGTTTTGGGGAGAAAAAACTAAGGAGTGTAGGATTTTTACCTCACAAGTATGATGTTTTTTTATAATTAATAGCTCGGCAATAGGTATTTGGGAAAATTCGAAAAAGGACTACTAGACCAAGACCCCCCCCCCCCCTTAGTCCTCCACGTCGAACGACAACTCGCCACCTGCATCCACTGGCTCCCCGCGACTCTGGCGATGTCGTCGGTTTGATTACTTACCATCAGATGATTCATCTACTTGTATATCCCCAACCCCATGAACAAATTAACCTCTTATCACATTTTTGAGAACGAACAAGAAACCTTTCATTCAAATAATTCAAGTCTTGGTGTACATAATATTTCAGGAGTTTACAATTACTACCCAATGGACTGTGGGAGTATCCTCCCAGTGTTAGCTCTGGACCTGAGACCCGGTGACAGAGTGCTGGACCTCTGCTCAGCCCCCGGAGGCAAAGCCCTAGTCGCGCTGCAGACTTTACTGCCTGACGTAGTCGTGTGTAACGATATCTCTATATCTAGGTTGAATAGGTGAGTCTTGTGTTTGTTTGAATTATTATTTTCGTTTTAGTTAAAAAGATAATCAAGTGCGGGAGAGCCATGTTTCGGCACGAATGGGCCGGCTCGGCCGGAGTGATACCACGGCCTCACAGAAAACCGACGTGAAACAATGCTTGCGTTGTGTTTCGTCGTGTGAGGTGACCGGAGGTCCAATTTCCCTCCCCTTCTCCAATCTCCCCAATCTCCCCAATTCTTGAATTCCCAACGATCCTCAAACTCCTAATCCCCAAAAGGCCGGTAACGCACTTGTAACGCGCTCTGGTGTTCCAGGTGTCCATGGGCGACGCCGATTGCTTACCATCAGGTGATCCGTCGGCTCGTTTGCCTTCAACTCTATAAAAAAAAATTATACTATAATTTTTTATGGGTAATTTACAATTTCTAAGCTCATTATTGTTATAACTTTGTATTTCAGGATACAGCGTTCGTTCCGCGAGTATTTATTCGATTTTGAGACCAGCAACAAATGGCGGGAGCGCGTTGTCTTCAAGAGGGTGGATGGACGACTGTACACTGATGATCTAGGTTTCGATAAAGTAAGCATGACTATAAGTATCAAAATTTATTTGGCGGTATCTTGGCACATTTTCTTCATCACAAATGCGTCAGAACTCTCACTTCACCGGAGTAATACCATAACCTCGCAAAAACTTATCTTGGAACAACGCTAACGTATTGTTTTGTATTATTTTTTTCCATGTTAAATATCAATTCTCAGGACTCTTGGTACTCTTGTACCCTTGTCATACATTTTATTTTTACAATATGACTAATCTTATAAATATTTATAAAGTATCTTTTGTTTTGTATTAGTGAGGTTACCAGAGGCTTCTAAACCTCTGTCCTGCCATGCCCAACTCCTGAAAATCTGGAAACGCAGTTTTAACTTCTCTGGTGTTGTGGTTACCCATGGGTATCCATGGGCAATGCCAATTTTATTTTTTTAAATGGGACAAGCCCGCCAATACCCCCGACTGACTGACTGACTGACCCCGAAAAACTGCTGCAACTCCCGTAAGCCAGGATCTACAGTAGATACAACCATGAAAACACCGGAACACTGAAGTCCGGCGCGTCTCAGGAACATGAGTAACTGTCTTGGTTCCCGCAACGAAGTGAATCAGAAGATATTATAAGAGGAGAAGAAAAAGAAATGGGCAGTGCCGATTACTTACTATCAAGTGATCTTCTATCAGCTCATTTGCCAACCTATCACATAAAACAAAATTGCGGTCATTCCAGGTCCTAGTAGATGTCCCATGTACAACAGACCGACACTCCATGAACGAGGACGAGAACAATATCTTCAGACCTGACAGGGTCAAGGAGAGGCTCAGGATACCCGAGATGCAGTCTCAGTTGCTAGTGTAAGTAATGTGGACTCTATTTACGTGTACTTAAAAGTCATTTTAGAAATTAGGTTGATTGAAAATGTGTAGCTAAATTAAACGTTAGTGGAATCTGAACTTTATTTTATTTTTTGTAAAGTTGGTTTATTCTAATGTTTGTACATGTAACAGAGCTATACCTACCTACCAGGATACTTAGATTATTCTTTGGACCATATGATGTAGAAGTACAGATCATTAGTATGTTTTTCTTTTGGTGATCCTTGACTTTCCCAGTGAATTTATCTTATATTTACTTGTACTATAAATCTTATCGCTACAAAAAATATTGTATCCAATATGGTGCATCTGACTTTCGACAGTAATCCGCTTACAAACATTTCAGAGATTTATTTTTATATACATTAATAGTTTTTCTATATGTTTCCAGTAACGCTCTTCGACTGGTGAAAGTCGGTGGGACAGTAGTCTACTCTACTTGTTCGCTGAGCCCCATACAGAACGATGGAGTCGTTCATATGGGGATGAAGCAAGCCTTCGAGAATAATAACATCATCGTCAAAGTCAAGTGAGTATTGTTTGGGAATTTGTACCTTATTTCTTTGAGAGACGGGTTATTTTATTTATATTATTCATCAGTTGGTCATATAAATATTTATGTTAAATAAAATAAAATATCTCACTACGTCTGTAATTGTTCCAGGAACATGTCATTAACAATGTCAGGTCTGACGAGCACGCTGGTGTTAGGCACAGGTTCTGCTGCACCTAAGTACGGCCAGCTAGTCACGCCATCAGTCGGCGCCAACTTTGGACCCTCATATATCGCTAAACTTATTCGTATGCGATAAATAACAAGACTTCTTCAATTTGAAAGGTAATTTGCTCCTCAATTTATGTAAATATTGTAAATACGTATTTTTATAAATAAAATAAAATTTAAATACACATAAAAACGTTTATTTATTAAAACATTTTCACTTTTAAACGTACACATTGTCTTTGACAAGCTAATCTACAATATATACCAAGCAATTAATATATAAACCGCAAGTCTTTATCATTTAAATGCATTATAAATATCAGAATATGTTTTTGTCAGTCAATATTCAGCTTTATTTCAGGGGAATAAGTACAAAAATACATTTGGTACGCTTAAATCTAAATTAAAAATATCTGTCAAAAAAATATGAGATTTGCACAAGTCATTGATCATTTTGCGCAAATTATTGGTCAGATTGCGCTAAAAGTTGATTGGTTAGCGCAAAACATTGAATTGTTTGCGCAAAACTAATACAACAGTAGTTATTTATTAGATTAGATATGTTTTTATTATAATGCAAAACTTATTATGGTACTTTAACAAGATTAGAATCAGTACATAATTATAAATAAAAAAATATATGACAGTCTCAATTCGTAATACTTTTCCGAAAGCAATTTTGTTAGAGATCCTATTAAAAATCAGACGTATGAATAAGAATTCAGTAACCTTTTTTAATATGAAATACTTATATGAATTTACAACATACGTAAGTACAATTTATAAGATCGTCAAAAAAGTAATAAAATCTATTGTACATACATAATATTTCATTAATTTATTAAACTACAAGCTTCTATCTAATAAATTGCTTTATCTACTTTACCTAAAACAGTTAAAGCGTATAAATAAATAAAGATAAAACTCGAATGAACCTCTCTCTGTCTTTGATTTTATTTTAATTTCAAATTCCAATTTGAGATTGGTGTAAATATCATTAATATTAGCTGAAAGTTCCGATAGTGGTAAGGACAAAAAGAACCCGATACTAAGTCGTGAATTTTCTTTAATCGATTTTATATCATATAATTTTGTAATAGAGTTGAAAAGATACTATTTAAGTACCTTAGCAACCAATTTTTGTTTTCACTGTTAGGTCTTCCATCCCCACCTCTCTCCGATAGCATTGGACAATCATGTCTTCAAATCATGAGAATATAATATCTCATTGTAATTGATCTGTAGGCTAGTATTATTAAGATCTAAATAGATACCTATTATACCTCAGCACTTTAATGAATAGAGTATAGACACATATTTAACAACATTTCAGGGTTTATATTATAATTTTCGTGAGATATACTATATTAATTATTATGTTTTTCGAGTTACTCACTTGCCGAGAAACTCGACTAGTTTCGACAGTCGCCGTGTCCTGTGTCGTAGAATGTTGCTCATGAATATGAGCCTCTAGTATGGCTTGAAACTAGTCGAGTTCCTCGTCAAACAGTAACGTGAGTAAGCCGAAACATATAATAATCAACGTTTTAGTACTAGTAATAATAATAAACTAAAATTTCTCTGTCATTTTATGGCAATATTTCAATTCTAAACCTTATTACATTTTGGTAAGAGAGTTTTCAGTTTCTTTATTTCCTTAAGGGCTTTGTTTCTCTTTCTTCAGGTTCCGTTTCCACTTTATTCCAAGGTTGCTCCTCACCAGATCCGAATAATGTATACGTCACTAACTCAATTGCGTACAACCCGATTGTAGTGAAGAATATTTTGCGCCATGCTGTTATAGTTTGCTGGAATACGAAAAAAAGCAAAATAAGAAGGTTGTCTTTTAAAAAAAATATTATACTTATTACATAATTAACTTTTAGTTAAAAAAATTACCAAAATGTAAAATATAATCAATCAATTTAAATTTTTAATTTTATTTCAAATATGTAAATGATTCCAAAATAACATTAAAACACCGATATAGTCGTTCATATAATATAACTATAGACCTATACATAAAAGTTAAGTTCAAGTTCTTAATTAGCCTTTTTCCTGACCTGACGTTGTTGTCAATAGAGAATTCAAAACATATGTACCCCACCGGTGCTGCCCCTAGCGGATTTTTTTTAATCTTCCCAGGTAAAAGGCTAATTAGAAGAATATCCGTTGTACCTAATAATCGTAAAAATAAATTTAAAATAATGATATACATATGTACTTACATTGCCATCCGTGACGTATCCAACGAAGATAGGCACTACGATGCCAGGTATAGTTGCCACGGTGTTGGTGACAGCCATTAATGTACCTGGCAAAATAAACAGATAATAAGTAGCATCACTTTTTTTTATTACACTTTTTCCGCGCGTTGCCATTAAGTTTGTCTGTGTAATAGGTGATATATAATAACTAAAGAATTTTATTGTGAACCTGATTGAAAAAGAGTAACCTATGGAGTTTCTTGCTCGTTCTTTTCTATAGGAATCTACACCTTGGAATGAGCAAATAGCTTTAAATTTTTTGTTTGAAATTCAAATGTGCCTTCCTGATCTAATTGAAATAAATGATTTTAACTTTGACTTATGTGAACTCAATCTTCAGCTTTTCACATACAACCACTGCGCACTGCCAGCCACCTTGCGGATATAGTCACTCACTTCACCTTGCCAGAAGACACTCTAACTACGTCATCTAGACGATTATTTCGTTTGCTTATAAAATTTACACTTACAGTTAATCCCAATCGGTCGATTATTCTTCTATTGTATATAGAATTCGAATTTTATTGATTGACTTTTTCTATGGAGCTTATTAAAATGTATACCTTTAGTAAGCAGTCTAAATATAAAAGAGCTAAAGGCTAACTTACCAGCGAAGTTAGGTGCGATATCGATGTGGTTTGATAGGAAACCACAGAACATGCCGCCGATGGAGGTGACGGCTATAGCCATGAGCGCCACGGCCGCGCTGCGGTTGCAACCGATGTAGCAGATAGCAAGCAGACATACGGCTGGCACTAACGATGCTGGAAGGTTAACAAATATGCTTTAAGTAACCACTTGATGCTTTCTAGGCTTCTTTGTTATGGAAAATTCATTAATCTGCCTTAATAGTCCACTTATTTAGGCATTTTAAATAGCAATCTTTAAAAACTAGGATTTATTCCACAGTCAAAATGACTGGACTATTGTGAAAAATCTTTATAACAATGTGCTAATTCTAAAGATGAAGAGAACATTAAACAGAAACGCCAACAATAAACTTGTACTTTTGTTAATAGCGAATTTATACAACTTAAATAAAGTATATAAACGTGTATCAAAATCTCCTAGAAATGCTGTTAAAATAATTAACACTTTATAATATACATGTCAACATACATCCAGACACCTATTTTTAAATATAAACTGATGTCATTAGGCTGTGTGACATCGCCACGACCGCGCGCGCTGCTCATGAGGAAGAACCCCTCTGTGGTACGAAACTAGTAGAGCATTACTCAGTAAATTCACGTGAGTAACACGCGATTTTTGTCCTCTTGTCTGTTGATATATGTATTATGATTTATGACACACAATTAAAAACACATTGTCTCTCGCATAGATCGGCGCTCCGACACTTTACAGGACTTTACTTTAATTGAAAATGACACTCACCGAACATAGTAGCAATTTTTCTCGCCGTTGTTGTGGAAATATACTTTTTCCCGCGCAACCAGTCCAGCGTCCTACTAAGGACCATGCTGAAGAACCAGAGAGAAAGGAACGGCATAGACACTGCCAACGCATTCTGAAATTAAGACACATGGGAAGTGAAAGCCGAAAGCGTAAACCTTATTTGTCGCGGAGAACCTAACGGGTAACCGGGGCTCCGGCTCGACGTGCAGGAGAAGGAACGAGGTGGTTTTTAGTCAGTAAGAGTCTGACACTCCCTCCCGCCTCACCCAGGCGGGAGCAGTCATTCGATGATTTTCCCCCCTTAAAAAAAACCTTATTTTCTATACCAGCGCCACCTAATGTGGTAATGTGTATAGGTAAGTACAATTTCAACTGTATATTTCTTACATAACATCACGCCTGTTATCCCAGAAGGGGTGGGCAGAATTGCACATTACGACACTTAATGCCACTGTACAATGTAACACAGACTTTACTATTTATGTTATGAGTCCCATGTTATAGTGGGTGAGCCTATTGCCATATACCGGGCATATTTCCAGACTCCGTGCTACTACTGAGAATTTCTCAAAAAACCCAGTAATGCTTTACCCAACCCGGCAATCGAACCAAACACCCCTTGCCTGGCGGTCGCACTTGCGACCACTCGGCCAACGATGCAGTGAAATAGTTATTTTATTATTTTTTCGGACAGAAAATAAGCATTGCCATTCAACGTGGCAATGCTGCCAATCTTCTGGGAACGTTCCCCTGTGACAGCGATGCGGACATTATATTCATAGTTTTAGTTGTAGTTAATTTTAAGTTGTAAATATTTATGTAATTATATTTAATTTCTTTAAATAAATTAATAATGTTTATAGTTTATTGGCATTAGAAGAGAAATAAATTGGTACTAAAAAGTTCTTTACCCATTTGCTTTGGTTCAAATACGAATCCAAACACGAACATAGGACTAAAAGGGAAGGTAGGTACTTACGACATTTTATAATTAGATACTATGTAGGTATTTCCTCCTATAAATTCATACATTCCTTTTTCAACACAGGCTTCAAGCATTTATAAAGGTAACGATGTCTAGAGCGACCAAGCGAGTTATCAATCAGGCAGACAATATTCACAATTGGAATACTACGAAAATTATCCTTACAATATAATTGGATACTTGCCTTAATCAAAAATAAATTATTTCGACTGTTGAATACAATCAAATATTAATTGATTTTATGACTAACTTAATTTTAGTATTTGTCCAGCAAATTTTTAAGAAATAAGTAGGTATGCTGTTTTACTCGAACAAAACGTGTCGTCACAATACACAATCTCGTCCAAAATTCATAGAAAACTGTCGAAAAAAATTTTGAATTTGACTAGTTACCAAGTACCCAATTATATCACCGTTCAACTGGAGAAGGGAGTGAACAAAAAATGAAGAACTATATAAGTCAATAAAATGTTTATTACGTTTTACATTGAATAAATAAATACAATTGTCTACGGTTAAAATTATGGTATTTATTATATCCTTATATATAACCAATACCCTATGTAACAATTAAGGTATTGGTACACAGTTTCAGTATACATGAGTATGTCAAGTTTCCTTCCTTCCTAATAGTAGGAATATAGATTCGAAGATGCTCGATTAGTTTCAGGCCACACTGGGGCTTATAATAAAAAGATTATGTAAGTAAGTCGTATATTTTAATTGATATAGTAAGATAAGATACTGTCTCGCGACATGTTTTATTAAAAAATAAATGCACATTATTTTCAATTTATTATATACTTAGGGACTAGCTACTTCAAAAATCGACGTAGTAAATATCACTCAAAATTACTCAATAGTCATAACCATCCACCTACATTATATTCATTGAGTCATTGCCTACAAAGAAGCAGATACAATTATCTAAAAACAAACTGATGATCTAAACAGAATTAGCTCTCTTTAAAACAAAAATCAAGATAAAAATTAGTTCATCCGTCGAGTACTACTTGATTACTAGACTAACATATAGAGTAGGTACAGATATGTAAATAGGGACACATTGTAGAATATGAAAATTTAGTTCCCCTCTAGATTACTGGACTAACATTTATTATAATCGAATACAGATACACGTGAACAATAAAAATACAACACTCCCTTTTTTATAATGGAAGTCTAAGTCTGACAAATATTTTAAAAAAGTTATCTTGACTATGTCTAAGTCTATCATTATCAGCATCAGCCTGTACTTAGTTAACTGTCTCACTCATTTCTGTGAAAGGCCTCTTCTCAAACGGAGAAGGATTCTATCATAATAAATTACGTATCATTTTATTATACTTATAAAAAAGTAGTATTATATCATGACGGTTTCTAAGAGAATGGTTTTTTTTAAAAAAAAAACGTGGTACTAGTGTGGGGCACTAGTATATATTCCTGTGTCGTGGGTGCGTTTACAAACATACAAATTCACATACACATGACACCCAGACCCGAAACAACAATTTGTGGATCACACTAAGTGTTGTCCCGTGCGGGAATCGAACCCGCGGCACGCTGTACGGCAGCCGGTTGCTCAGCCACCGCACCAACCGTGCAGTCAGATCGCAGAACGCGGTCTTGTGCGCCGTTTTTACTAAATAATAATATAAAAACGACATCAATACCATCAATAGATCAAAATTATGGCACATGGAATAATTATAAGTTAAATAAAACGGCAGAATTTTGAAACAATGTCAGATTCACAAATAACTTACGTAAATCGACCAGTCCGTTTGAATTTTTTGTGAGCATAAGAGAGTTTTCCGCGTAAACTCAGTTTAATTATTTTTGGACTCACATACGGCCAATTTACTAGAGCTGTGTGCTTTTGAACGTAGTCCAGTATAGCTTTTATACCGCCAATATCTAAGTCAGGCCTGTGAGACGGGACGCTGATTGGTTGAGGAAACTTACAAACTGACAGGGCATTCTTAGTGAAAACTTCACTTAACAAATTACGCGCCATTTGTTTTTGATTTCGACATTTGTCTACGATCGCAGCAAGTTTCTCAAAATTGACGTATATTCGAGAATTTTCCTCTAGTTCTGTCAATTCCGATGAATAACTTTTGTATTTCAAAGTCCATCTAGAGTCATTTTCATCGTATTCAGGTGGTAGGTTAATAGTCTGTGGGTTTTCATTTTGCGTACCATCTTCTCCTGTTTCTTCTTCTTTTTCATCTTGTTTTTCTTCTTCTTTATCATCTACTTTTTCTGCTTCTTTTTCTTCTTTCTTTTCTACGACTATTTCTTCTTCTTCTTGTTCTTTTTCCTCTTCTTCTATTTCTTCTTCTTCTTTTTCCTCTTCGTCTATTTCTTCTTCTTTTTCTTCTTCTATCTCTTCTTCCGTTTCTTCTACTTTGTCTTCTTTTTCTGATTCTTGAATAATATCACTTTCCAACTGTCCCGTTCCACTTTCGACCTTAGTAGCTTCTTCTTCTTCTTCTTCTTCATCTTCGATTTCGTCTTCTAAAGCTTCTAATTGGTCGATCAAGTCCTTGAGAGTATCGACAGCTTTAATCGAAGTAGACATTTTATCTACTATTCCATTAATTTGCTTGTCTGATTCTTCTAACTGTTCAATAAAAGAAATTTGGTCTTGAATGGTTTTCCACAGATTTACAATAGCTATGGTTCTAGGATTTAATGGCCCACTTGCCGTTTCATTATCTGTTGCATTATTGGCTGCTTCTGAATCTGAAGTATTTTGTCCGGTACTTGATTTATTTTGACCTGTCTCTGCTGACTTTGGAAGGGTTTCAACTACGAGTTTAGATTTAAATTTATATTTAATGGGTTTCACTTTCTTGATTATTAGTTTTGGAACAACTTTATTTCCATTAACTTTTTTGTAAGATACAGTTTTGTGTTGTTTGTCGATGGTTTTCGTTGTAAGTTGGTTTGGCACTTGTGATTCAGAAACAACATCCTCGGATTCCGTGCTGTCATCATCACTATTGTTACTTTTTTGGATTTCATTTCTCTTGTTTTGAGTGCCGAATATTTTGACATCAAATTTTCCTGTTTCGTTAGAAGTTGTTGGCTTATTATCTGAAAAATAAAAAATACTTTAGCATCTTGCAAATATTTACTTAGGTAACAAATGTTATTGAAAATGTGTATGATTTACCTTGCTGGGCATTTTTCTCTCGATACCCTTGTAAAAGCTTCCTAAGACACATTTGCGCATCTACGTAGGAATCTGTGGAAGATATAAAAGTATCGAATGTAATAGTATTTTGACAGCTATATGCTATATGCATTAAGGAAATGACGAAAAATATGAAGATGTAACTACGCAAAATCTCCAAGTTAACGTAACCCTATTGAAAAAACATGGGTCCCAACCTGACATCGGCAAAAAACAGTCGGTACAAGATCGATCTAAAGCAAATTAAATATCCGGTTTGACCTGAGAACTTCCACCCTTTCAAAGAATAGATAGGTACCAAAAAGTTCCCGCGCCTACTGAAGGTTTCACACCCGTCGTCAAAAAAAAAACAAATTGAAGTAATGACGTAACGTTACCAGTGCCTTTTGTCTGGTGAGAGTTCCGCATGCCTAACAAACTTTTTGATTATGCTGAATTTCTTGGGGAGCTATGGAACAGTTGACGCAATAAAACGGCTCTCTGTATGGTCTGCAATGCATTTGTGGTTCCGACTCATGTAGGATGCAGAAGAATATGTTTGTTGCTACCAATACGAAGTAGGTAGTAGATAAAAACGTTTGGAATGACTTAAATAAATTTTTACCTTATTCATACTCGCGTGAATACGTTGATGCGTACCAAATATGCGCAAACTCACACAAACAAATCGTCACTATCAAGAGACTGTGGACGGTGTACGACGATGAAAATTATAATGTGGAGAATGTTTAAAAAACAATAAACATAATATAACAGGCTCAGACAAACTTTATTACTTAGTAAGCTTTCGTTAATTCATCGAAACATCTGCTTCAGAATCTCCATATATTCAGTGCCGGATTAGCCACGTAGCAAGAGTAGCAAATGCTACGGGCCCCGCGGATTGGGGGGCCCCGCGCTCAAATAGGTATTTCGTAATAACACC